TTTTTTAACAAAATTACTGTGAACTGTTATATGCACACGGTTTTTTATAAATCAATTAAAAATGTAGATTTTCTTAAACTTGGATACCAGTATAGGCCAAAGTACAGTTTACAGTGTACAGTGTACGCTGTATTAAAAAGTAATATTGTAAAGTTAATCAATATATATACTGAATTAACAATAAGTTAAAACAACTCATTTAACTTTTGTTCAAAATTAATTAGATACAATTATGATTTTATCTACATCCCGTCTAGAATCAATTTTAAAAATTGCCGTTTTTAAGTAGGCCTTGGAGCAAAAAATGGATATTAAGAAATATAAAAGTATTTTTGGAAATATAATTTAGTATATTTTATGGGACTGGAGCGTGCTTGAAAGTGGCCCTTCATTCAAGGAGTATAAGGAATATCAGGGTAAAAGGAATATAGAATATTAACATATATGGACTCATAAAGTGGTTTTTAAGATTTATACTAGAACTTTAAACATTTCTTATGCAGAAAGGAAGATATTTGGAGAAATATTTCTGGGGTAAATTTAGTTTGTTTTGTTGTAATCTTTGATTTAAACAATACTTTTTTGAAAAATGTTAAGATTTCAATAAATTATACAAATTTTCTAGATTTAATTTGAACTACAAAGAAAGGTATTGCTTAAATCAAAGATTATAAAAGATGAAATTAAATTCAATTCCAATTTTGTTCTTTAATTATTTTTCTTTTCATGTAAAGAATGTTTAAAGTTTTATATACCACTTTATAAGTCATAATTAGGAACTATTTATGATAATTAATAAATACTTCTCATCTTTGAGAAACCTCTCATGACACTTTGTAAAAAAAAGAAATTTTTAACTATTTTCATTACACCATAAAAACCAAGATTTAAAAAAAGCTGTTCTGTATGGCGGAGGCTCGTTCACTGCATAGCAGAGGCACGGTCTGCATAGGTGAGGCTTGTGTCTGCAAAGCAGAGGCTCTTGTCGTCAGGGGATTCCCTCCCTCACTGTACAGTGTACATACAATTACATGTATTTATTCCGTTCTCCACAAGGAGTATGGAATATAAGGGATATTAAATCGATCCGGCCCGCCCTACAATATGATTATAAATGTTTGCAGACGATGCTGTCATGTTTGAACTGCCGCCGTTTGAACTATTGTTCCTTTGAACTACTGCACATGGCCCGGCACCATGTGAGTAGTTCAAACAACCAATAGTTCAAACGAGTTTGTTTCATGCCAATTTGATCTATTTTTTTTTTGTACATTTAAGCTTCTGTTCATTTAAACTTCTGTTCATTTGAAGCACTGTTCATTTGAAGTACTGTTCATTTGAACTACTGTGTATTTGAACTACTGTTCATTTGAACTACTGTTCACATGAACTATTAAGATAATAGTTCAAATGACCCTTAAAAATAGTGCAAATGAGCATAAAAAACAGTTTAAAATGAACAAAAAAAAATAGTTTAAATGAACAAAAAAAATAGTTCAAACCAACATAAAAAAGTTCAAATAAACACTAAAACAGTTCAAATAAACAAAATAGTTCAAATGAACAAAAAATTAGTTCAAATGAACTTAAAAATTCAAATAAATTCATGAGTCTGAATGAAATATTATTTACAGTAACAAAACAATTTTTAGACTTTTTTTGGTTCATTGAACTATTTTTATATTCATTTGAACTAATAGCCGAAGCGCTCAGCCCCCTAGTATGTCCTAGCTGCAGCGCTCGGCCCCCTTGCCTGTCCTTGCCGTAGCCCTCGGCCCAGAAATTGACTTAGCCTAACCTAACCCTGAAATAATGCATGCAGACATTTGAGCTATATTTTTTGGTTCATTTGAACTATTTATACGTGCATTTGAACTTATCCTAGTCACAGCGCTTGACCCATAAAAAACCTAACCCAGATTAATACACACGTTTGAACAATATTTTAGTTAAATTTGAACTATTTTTGCAGTGTTCATTTTAAATTTTTTTTGGTTCAGTTGAACTATTTTCATGTTTATTTAAACTATTTTTATTTTCATTTGAATATTTTTTTTGTTTATTCAAACTATTCTTTGAGGCTCATGCCAATTCTCAAAATTGTAAAACTGGTTAAGTTTAAAGAGAATAATTCAAATGGGCAAATATTTTATTAATTTGAACTACAGAATATGACGTCATATCAGTAGTTCAAATGAACAATAGTTCAAACCACCAATAGTTCAAACGAACAATAGTTCAAACGGCAGTAGTTTGAACAAATATCCATCCACCTTTGCAGATGTGGTTTTTACTATGCCATTTTAATAAAACCAACTTTTTTATTTTATAAAAAAAAACGCGGTATTTGTACACCAAACAAATATTTCAAATGAATACCGTCTGCAAAGCATGTATAATTATATGGTAGGGCGGGCCGGGTCGATTCAATCTCTCTTATTTTCCATACTCCTTGGTTCTCAATCATTGTTCTGGTTTTATCTTATTTAGTTCTAAACTTTCTATTGCATTGCATTCTTCATCATCATTCTAGTTTTCTCTTATTTAGTTCTAAACTTTCTATTTAATTGCATTCTTCATCATCATACTAGTTTTCTCTTATTTAGTTCTAAACTTTCTATTGCATTGCATTCTTCATCATCATTCTAGTTTTCTCTTATTTAGTTCTAAACTTTCTATTTCATTGCATTCTTCATCATCATTCTAGTTTTCTCTTATTCATTTCCAAACTTTCTATTTCATCGCATTCATTATCTTGCGGTTTTTCTCTTTTTCAGTTTTAACCTTTCTCTTTCATTGCATTCATTATCATGCGGTTTTTCTCTTTTTCACTTCTAAACTTGTTATTTTATTTACAATGATAACCTTTCATACCAAAAGATTCAAATGTTCTATAAATATAGTCGGTAGAGGGGTGGATGCGTTTTCAATAAAAAGTAAAAAAAAGACAACTCCTTAAGTTTAAAAATTGATAAAGGAATTATGTTCTGGTCACAAACTCAGATTTGCTGATCCAAATATCTTAGCAACCCAATTTCGTAGACCTAGGATATTTCAAGTTTAAAATATCAAATGTTTACTGCGCATCATGTTTGCAAAGATATAGGAACTTAAAAAATTCCTTATTCCTTGTAAAACAGTCAGTCTAGGGTGCGCGGTTTTTTTCCGACATATAAAAAAATTTAAAAAACTTCTCCAACTCAAATTATTTTCTAATATAAAGATATAAAAAATAGTACGAAAAAAAGTTTACAATGGCGGGGGTTGGGTTATGTGGGGAAATCCTTCTAACCCAACCCTTCTCGTGTTGTTACACAACACGTTGTGAAACAAATAGAATTGTATAATTCTCTCAAGATAAATACATTTAATCCTTTTTTGCCTTCAAGCAATCAGTTATTTTTGTTACTTTTGTATTATTTGGAAATATGATTTTTAGAGTCACGCATTTCAGGGGAAGAAAGCGTGATTGATCCGATATTGCTATTAAAGGGTTCTATGTATAGCGTAAGCGAGAAAGTGAACTAGTTTTTTAATTTTGAATGAATGAAAAATAATGAATTCAGTAGGACTATTCTATTACCCCCCCAGCCCCTCCTTTTTTTAACGAAAAAATCTCCAGCAATTTAATTCTAGATAGCAATATGAACTGCGTCTGTGCATATTTTCGTAAATTGTAAGAATTTAAAAGAATCTTGCTTTATGATTTTCAAAGACATATTTGAGCAGTAGCTAAATATGTTGTGTTCTTTATGAAACAAAGTAAGAAATAACCATAGCCATTACATTTGAAATTTCGTCACAAATTGGCGACGACAAATTTCAAGAAACCTTAGAGATATATATAAATCATTCAATAAAAGTACCTCGAACTCATTTTTGTAGAGAAGAACCAGAACAGAAACTGAACTAACAGTATTCTATAAAGCGTTTATTCTAAATATATTCAAACTAATACATTATCATAAAATCATAAAATATACAAGAAATGATGCTAATTTATATAAATGCTAAAATAAATCACAATTTAGTATAGGCTGGGTTGATGGTATATGAATAGAGAAGGAATTAATCGCTTAGTTGCCCCTTAGGCCCGTCCATAATATAGCAGGATGATGACGTAAAGTTGGAGAGTGTCGAAAATAGAAACCCTTTAAGATCTCGTACTGTAAAAGCTAATATTATACCTCAAGTATCTCTACAATATCTGATGAAAACCTCGGTGTTTTACATCAAACCATTCTTCATTTTGACATATTAACCATTCAGTCGTATCAGATAGTAAACTATAAGGAATGACTTGAATTAAGACCCGACTCGAGGTTTTAACAAAAAAGCGCGTAGACCGCGTATTAATTTCAACTGGGATGTCGGTACCAGTCGTTATTACATAGCAATCAATGACCAACACTTTAAGGGTTGTTTATATTTTGTCTCCAGAGCTAATATCAGGATTTGTGAACTCCTTAATGGCTTAACTCTAACACGGAGAGCTTTATTCATCATAACAGAGTAAGGACAGGTTCAAGGTTCTCCGTTACTCTTTTATTTCTCCTGAACCTTTAAGGATTTTAACCTTCAGCCTATAATCATTTATATTCCGTAGATGAATTTCAGTCTGGATCCAGAAAGTTGCCCCTTAGGCCCGTCCATAATATAGCAGGATGATGACGTAAAGTTGGAGAGTGTCGAAAATAGAAACCCTTTAAGATCTCGTACTGTAAAAGCTAATATTATACCTCAAGTATCTCTACAATATCTGATGAAAACCTCGGTGTTTTACATCAAACCATTCTTCATTTTGACATATTAACCATTCAGTCGTATCAGATAGTAAACTATAAGGAATGACTTGAATTAAGACCCGACTCGAGGTTTTAACAAAAAAGCGCGTAGACCGCGTATTAATTTCAACTGGGATGTCGGTACCAGTCGTTATTACATAGCAATCAATGACCAACACTTTAAGGGTTGTTTATATTTTGTCTCCAGAGCTAATATCAGGATTTGTGAACTCCTTAATGGCTTAACTCTAACACGGAGAGCTTTATTCATCATAACAGAGTAAGGACAGGTTCAAGGTTCTCCGTTACTCTTTTATTTCTCCTGAACCTTTAAGGATTTAAACCTTCAGCTTATAATCATTTATATTCCGTAGATGAATTTCAGTCTGGATCCAGAATCTTAAACCCACGAAACAGTTCTATCTTATTGAGAAACTGCCTTTTTTAATTGTATTTTTTAAACTAAAATGGGATTGTAAACGTAATTTTAAGTGGCTCTCCATTATAGAATGACATGTCTAATTTACAACGCTCAGGTCAAAAATGAACAAGATACCCATAATTTTCCATTTAAAGATGATCATTCTCCTTTGTGGCTTTTCTATTATAGTACATGCTATCGAAACTATGGGGATAATTTTCAGAGTTGAAAAACTACTATATCTTTCTCAATATTGATCAGATATAGGTGTAAACGGAACCGTTATGAATCAGGCATGCCTTTTTTAATGGAGGATCACTTGAAATTATACAAGCCGTCCCTTTATTACTAATATTAATTTCAAAAGTTTTAATTATTTTTATAATTTAACTTATTTTCCCCTGAAGTTTAAATCAGGAACTAAAGCTTCGCGTAAACATAATCTTAATGCATTAAAAAATGAAGAATGAGAAAAAGCAAAAACTTTCCTCGATTGTTTCTCAATTATACTCTTATGTTTAGGTGTCATGGAGAAAAATGAAGGAGATATAATCCCAGAAGGGAAACAAGAAAAAAAGGAAAAAAGTGAAAATAAGGAAAGAAAGGGTAAAGAGGAAAAGAGGGGGAAGAAGGAGAAAGAAGAGAAGAATAAGTTAAGAATTCTCTGTTTACATGGATACCAACAGTCTGGACCCGTCTTTAGAACAAAGATTGGAAGTGTGAGGAAGTTTTGCTCTAAACTAGCAGAATTCATCTTTATAACTGCTCCACATAAGGTAGACATTCAAACCATTCATCTTTATATCTGTTCAGCACAAGGTAGACTTTATTCAAACCATTCATCTTTATATCTGCTCCGCACAAGGTAGACTTTATTCAAACCATTCATCTTTATATCTGCTCCGTACAAGGTAGACTTTATTCAAACCATTCATCTTTAAATCTGCTCCGCGCAAGGTAGACTTTATTCAAACCATTCATCTTTATATTTTCTCCGCAAGGTAGACTTTATTCAAACCATTCATCTTTATATTTTCTCCGCAAGGTAGACTTTATTCAAACCATTCATCTTTATATCTTCTCCGCAAGGTAGACTTTATTCAAACCATTCATCTTTATATTTTCTCCGCAAGGTAGACTTTATTCAAACCATTCATCTATATATCTGCTCCGCAAGGTAGACTTTATTCAAACCATTCATTTTTATATCTTCTCCGCAAGGTAGACTTTATTCAAACCATTCATTTTGATAAACTTTGATTTTTCAAACATTTTGTGATTTTTGGTATAAACACAACAGTAACGGGATTGTATTAACACAACAGTAACGGGATTGTATAAACACAACAGTAAAGGGATTGTATAGACACAACAGTAAAGGGATTGTATAAACACAACAGTAACGGGATTGTATAAACACAACAGTAACGGGATTGCATAAACACAACAGTAACGGGATTGTGTAAACACAACTGTAACGGGATTGTATAAACACAACAGTAAAGGGATTGTATAAACACAACAGTAACGGGATTGTATAAACACAACAGTAACGGGATTGTATAAACACAACAGTAAAGGGATTGTTGAAAATCCAAAACACTCCATGTCTGTCTGTTTACTGCTAAATTTCTTGTATTTGTAAATATATTCAGGTTATTTTTAAAATTTGCATAAAGGTAAACTAAATTTAAGTTTTTTTGTGTATTTGGGCCTCGTCGTTAAAGGTTTCTTTATTAAAGTTATTTCTCCAATTTTCTCATTTAAAAAAATTTAGAACTTTATGTTTGTCTTTCTGTTTTCTGCAAAATTTCTTTTTTTTTATAAATATTTTCAGTCCTTTTTTTAATATTATGAATTATTTTATTTCATCATGGATTAAGAAAAGGGAATTTATAAACATGATATTAATTTTAAAATTCCGATTTTCCCTGGGTAAAACCTTTCTTATTTGCCACGGAAGAAATCAGGAAATTGTCCCCTACTTAATTCTGGATTAAAAAACTTTAATTTTAATTTCAAACAAATTAGAACGAGTGAAAAACCAACAACAAAAATCTCTTTGGTTCACAAATGAATAAAACATAATTAATAGATATTATGGTTTAACAATATTTGTTATTACAAAATATTTAATTTTTTGATTGTCCAACGTGTAACAGAAAGTTTAGAAACCCTCCTACAAAAAGGCGACTGAAAATTATTATGGTGTGTATTTTAAAAATGCAGATGAAATCAAAATTTCAAATATTTAATAATTAAAAAAACATTTCTCATTTATTTCAAATTATATATTAGAATTTTATTTTTGAAATTTCGTTCTTCATGAATTTTCTCCCGGTTGTTTAAGTAACAGATTGGTTAAACATGTGGATTATGAATTTTATTTTAATAAAAGAAGAAAATTCTGTTTTTAAAACAGAGGAAATCTGTCCAATCAAAGGTATTCATTACTCTATGGTTTCCCAACTGTACAATTTTGTATTGTTATGCGTACAAATCCTATCTTTGTATTTTGATTTATGTACCGTACATTTTAAACAGAGGTTATACTGCACCAAGGTTATAATGCAGGGAAAGTTAATTGCAGTTGCGTATACTCTGCGTACATATTGAAACCAGTTCTCTCTGGGCAGCATTTGTAATCAAGAATAGGTGCATCAGTGTTCGTTTAGTATCCTAGGAGGTTGAAAGCATTAAATTTTGATAATTTAGATAATTCACATAATAGTTTCCTATGACCAGAATATTTCATTGATTTTTTTTGTGAAAGATGGATCACATGTCAGGCTTCGACATCCGTCTTGTGTTTACATTAGTGCACTGTAATACAAAAGATGCTTACACCTCTGAAATAACTTTCCTTGCATTATAACCTTGTGCTGCACCTAGTAATAGTTGCTAGGACAGAAATTTCTCTACTGGGAACAGAAAGTTTAATTAGTCCCAGAGTTTAAAGGAAATTTAAAGAGAAGGAATATATTGTTCAGCAGAATATGTTCAGGAGAGAAAAAACAAAATCTGTTGAGAAGAGAAGTAATATATTGTTTAATAAAATCTGTTCAGGAGAGAGAAATGTTAATGCTTTCGTAACCTTTGTAGCAAGGCATGCACAGATATTTTTCCGAATATTTCAATCTCTTTTTTTCAACAATTCTTAAGAAAGTGTTCTATTTTAAAGCGCGCTCATTTGACCAATTACATTCGAAATATTACAAATGTTGAGCCGTCAATGTTTATGTTTAAACTTGTTTCTTTTTTTAATGTTTTTTAATTGTGAATGGTGGATAATGTATGGAGCAGAATTCAAGGTGTGGTTGTCCCAACTCCTGATAGTTTTAGATTATTTGTTTTTAGCGAGAAAGATTTGAGAAAAACTAATATTCTTATTCCTGTATCTTTGCAACCTGATTTTGTATACACCTGTAAAAATTGACTAATCTATCAATATGATATAGTGTTAGATCAGGTTTTCAAGACAAAATGAAAAGAAAATTCAAGTTTGAGGCAGTTTTTAGCTGCTTAAAAGGACTGTTAGCGTTATTTTAAGTGACCATTCATGCAAAGATCGCAATGCCCGATTTACAACGGTACCCTTGAAACCTTAATCTGGTAAACAATTCTAAAGAAAACGTCGTTTTTCTAACATCGAAAACTGTTTACTTTAGATCGTTTTTAAGCAAATCCCAACCCTACTCTCTATCACTTTAGAATTACATCATTTTCTTCTCAATATATTTCGCCAAAAACTTTGGCATCATCAGTAGTTCGTCCTATAATATTACAGATATAAGCAAAAAAGAAATAAAAATACATCGAAAGAATTTATCAAATGTCGTATTCTTCACTTTTTGATAATGGAATGTTGCAGATATTTAGTTTTTTATTCAAATAATTATATGGTGCTCTATGAAACTGTTCCCGCACATTCTTGGCAATTTATTTATTTTTGCAAAATAGTAAGAAACCAATTGAAAAATTGTTAAGACGACATTTCATAAATTTTTTCGATGTATTTATTATTTAGGATTTTAAAACTTATTAAGACAAGAAAAAAGTTAGAAAACCGTACCTTACTCTTTTGAAGAGTTTATTGAATGACTGGAAAAGGTTTAAGGGCGAATACGGTGGGGAGGGGGGAGGGTAGAAGGGAGTAGAATTCGTCGGCAAAACGGTCAAATGCATGAATTCGATTGGTAAAACATAAACATACAGCTTAAAACAAGCAAAATTAATTTTTATTAAAAGATTGCAATTAGCATTATGTTTTCTTGTTCTGTCCTGATCTTACTGAGTTGAATTTCTGTATGAAGTATGATTCCCTGGCCTCCCTGACCATCCTGTCCCTGGACCTGATCTTCTCTATGGGAATGAAGGATTTATCTGCATAGGAGTGACCAGGGGCATGAAAGTGAACACCTGCAGGGGCCTGGGTATTTTCTTGTCCTAGCTGTGTAATGGTGCCTCTTTGACCCCTCAGCCTTTGTTTAGCCTCCTTCCCTGTCTCTCCTATATATTGAGGATTGGAAGGAAAAACTTGGCCTCCTCTCCTACATGTAATTATGTATATAATATTTGAGGAGAAGCAGGTCAGCTTATCCTTAATCCTCATCTTTTCTCCAGAAGAAGAGATTACCACCTCTTCTGTTTAAGTGTTAAACTCTGATGACTTCTCCAGTCTTTATTATAAGCTAGAAATCCGCAAGTCACTTTTGCAGAGAAACCACAAATGAAAAAAAACGGTTTAAATAAACAAAAACATGAATATCTAATTCATACTTGATCAGACAAAGCGTTCAATGGTACCGTTGTAAATCGGGCATTGGCATGTTTGCAAGGAGGCCGGTCACTTGAAATTACGCTTACAGTTCCTTTAAATATTTGTAGATAGCAGATGAAGAATATGGTTGGTGGTTCAGTCAACCAGACGGGGTGGAGGAATCTCAAGATACTCACAGGAAGGTATAAATACAATTCAATACAAACAATCAATCAAACTAATAAAATTAATTTATTAAACAATAGGATTTTTTGCTTTTAAACCAATATGAATCAATGCCAACAAGAGCTTTCGCTTGAGTTCAAGGAATTAAGTATTTGCCGCATACACAAGTTTTCTAAACCCTATATCTTGGAACCCAGATTGTGTAAACCTTTGATATTTCAAACTTGGTTTATTTTATCAAACAGAATTTAAAATTTGAAATAGCTAAGATCTACGACGTTGGGTTGCAATTTGCAAAGATATAAGGATTATAAAATCAGAGATTTTGACAAAGACTCGATTCCTCAAAGGATCATTTACTACTAAATTGTGGAAATTAAATATTTTTTCTCCCGGGGGGGGGGGTTAGGAGTTAGTAAAAGACATTTAAAAATAAAAAAAGGCGTAGGGGAACATGACATTAGATGTCCAATTTCTTATTTCCCTCCTGATCTGTTAATTATTTACAAATACTTAACAGGGAAGTTAAGGGAATTTTAATTAACCAAGGGTTTCCAAGACCAATTGTGTCTACAAAAAATCTTTGGAGATGAAAATGCGCGATTTTTTTCATAAACACTTCCTATAGTGGGTGGTTAGTTTATGTAACTGTCCCAAGGGACGTTAAGTAACTTAACCTCCCTCTGTTGGGGGAATCATAGGTCGGTAATGTTGGACAAAAGGCGATAAAAAGATTATTCCCCAACCCCGGGTAATTTTTTCTAGATTATCCCAGTGTTTTGTGACATTTTGAAAATAACGACGATCCATAAAAATATTTTTGACACAAAACATTTTTATAAATATACGGGGCAAATCATTTGTTTCTCTTTACATTTGACATTTTCAATGATTGATGTACTAATCATGGAATTATATTGTAAGAAAATGGAACAGCATTACTCGCTTATTACCCGTAGTAAATTTGCATTTATTTCATTAAAATGTAGTAAAGTTTAGATCAAAGTACTCCTTAACATTGAATAATTTATCTAATCTAGATTCCAGCTTTGATTTCAGAAATGGCCTTGGTTTTAGTTTTTAGATTTGTTTTGAATGCTTGATTTGCTCTTCTTTTGAAGATTTGAATATGGTTCTAAAGAGAGAAACTCATTTTTATCAGATTTATGTGAAAATCTTCGATTCTTTGAGTGTGTTTGTTTATATATATATATTTTGCTTGTCTGTCTGTCTATCTCACTATGTTTATCCAATAAACGTCAAAACGGCTGAACCGTTCAGGTCCAAATTTTTTGTGGGACCTCCAACGACCCCAGTGAAGGTATAAGAATGATCAAAAATTTCAAAAATTTGCCTCCATCCAAATTTTGTAAATCCACGAACAAATATTTGAAAATCCTCAAAGAAAAAAATGTTAACAAATTGAATAGAAGATGGGCGCGAAGCAAATATAATAAACCTAAAATATTTTAAATTAAGATTATTTTATCACATAGAATTCAGAGTTCGAAATATCTAAGGTCTACGACTTTAGGCTGAAAAGATATAAAGATTAGAGTCTGTGGCAAAAATTCCTTTCTACGAAGAAAGATCAGAAAGAGCAAATTCCAAATAAACCAGTGTGACGTAGTTTTAGTAAAAGAGAGGAGAGAGAGGGAGGGACTTCCAAATAATATTAAAATTTTTAAAAACAAATGGGAATTTAATTAAAATAATCTAATTCGACTTTTTTTTAATGAAATAAGCTCTTTAGTTCTTGGCTAACGGAAAATTATGAAGTTTATTTTTTTCGTTTTATTATTTATTTTTATGAACACCATCTCCGATTTTTAGAAACTAAATACGTGAATAGACATAAAGGAATTGACTATTTGCAACAAACTCTGATTTTCTAATCCCTATATCTTTGGATTCCAACGTCGTAAACCTTTGAAATTTCAAACTATGACTTTTGTTAGATCAAAAAATATAAGTTTGAAATATCAAAGGTTTACGACATTGGGTTCCAAAGATATTGGGATTAGAAAATCAGAGTCAATTCCTTTAAACTAAATACGTGAATAGACATATATTTACGTGAATAGACATATATGTACTACGTGAAAAGACATACATTTAAAAAAATGAAATAATAGTGCAGGTACCAAGGTCACGAAGTTTTCAAACAGTCATAACCTTTTTTGGTTACTATTTTACTAAGCGTTAAATACCAATTGACAGATATAAAAGAAAGCTTTTTTTAATGTAGTAGATTTTAGAGACTTATGATTTCTTCCGTTAGATTAAATAATCTAAGTTTAAAATATCAAAGATTTACACCAGCAGGTCACAAAGAAATAGAGATTAGAAAAATAGAGTTTAAGGCTCAATTCCATTGAAAATGAATTGAAGTTCATGATGTGATTTAATTGTGGATAAACAGTTTTCTCTGTTAATATTAAGCTTAATTTCCACATAAAAGCTTTTAAATGTTTTACAAAAAATTAACCTATTACAAATTATCTTTTCTGTAATTAGTCCCACAAAACATGACAGTTGGTAAATAGCTTAGAATGTCTTCTTCCATAATTTGTTAAGTTGTTTAATACCAAAGATAATAATAAAAATATTATATAGGAGTCATGCTATAGTAAAATTAACTTCAAAGTAAAATGAATTTGAGCAAAAGATTTGTTAAACGAAATAAACTGCAAACAGCCTTTAATATCTAATACATTGTATGGAAGACGACATTCAAACCTATTCACCAACTGTCATGTTTCGTGGAACACCCTTTAGTTATTTCACATCATTAAATTTTTTTTTGTGATTATTTCAAGTCTTATGTTAGTCTATTCATGTATTCTGTTTGAAAAAAGATAGGCCCACTGTTTTTATGTAGAAGTGTTAGATTTCAATGGACTCTTCCAAAATTATTTGAAGATAAAATAAATCTTCAAAACATTGGATTCAAGTTTCAGTTTTCTTTAATATTTAAAAGATTGATTATACAAACATTTTAACGAAAATTCAACAATTCGCTTTGAATTATAAAAATGATCAGGCAATAATTTTAACAAATTTTAATTCTGTCGTCCATGTATCTATCTACATATTTTAGTTTTTTTAATAATAAATATAAATATGATCAATATACAGAAAACTGTATAATGATAAAATCACTATTGTTCTGGATTCATATTATTCAATATTAATTTATAATCTCTCAGGGATCGAATTTAATGAATTTGAACGGCCTACCTGCACTGGTTTAAATTTGAATCACTGATTCAAATTCATCCTTAATGTTTAGCTTTGAATCGGTGGTTGAACCGCTGATTGGTAGTTCAGAGACAATTTTATTAAATTTCGTTCTGCAGGGATTTTAGAAATAATTTCAATTGAGCTTTAAATTAGAGTGACAAGTTTATACACAACGTTTCCATTTAAACCTTTATTATGAGCAACGACGAATATATTCTTCTTTTTCTCACTGAAAATATTGTGAGGTCAGCCGATAAAAATAAATGTACACTGTACTGTTGGATTATAATATTGCATAGAGTGTAAATGAGGTCACATATTTCTGATCTACAATTCATAGAGTATATTATCAAATAGACATGGTAACCCTTCTAGTTCATAGAGTATATGATCAAATAGACATGGTAACCCTTCTAGTTTTTTACGAAAAAGTATAAGATAGACAAGTTTATCCTCCCAAATGTTATGTAAAAAGCAGGTTTATAAATTCTAATTAAGAAGTTTATTCTCTGTGACATTACAGAGATTTGTTAAATATCTAAAGCATCTTGCAGACAAAGGAATTAAGTCTTTGTCATAAACTCTGCTTTTCTAACCCCTATATCTTTAGATTTCAAAGTCGTAGACCTTAGATATTTCAAACTATGAATTCTGTTAGATCAAATAGTTCAAGTTTGAAATATCAAAGATTTACGACATAGGGTTCTTAAGGTATAGGGATTATAAATTCAGAGTTTGTGTCAAAGACTTAATTCCTTTATCAACATTTTAAATCGTTTCTGCCGACAAGATATGTAAGAATTCGGTCATACTTGCTCATATGAAGGTTTAAAGGGTCCAGTTGTGAATTGGACTTTCCTCTCAACTTATGAAGGGTCACTGAACGTCTACACGTCACGTTTATAGTAATTTAGAATGTTCTTTAAGATGCTGTTTGATTTTAGGCTGAGCTAGAGGAAACATTGAAATTGATTTCTGAAACCTTTAGATCATGTTCTCCGATCCATGGGATCCTTGCATTCTCTCAGGGTGCTGCTTTAGGTACACAATCAAAACCTACTTAATGTACGGAGTATTTAACAAAACTATTTTTTTTTAACAAAGTTGCCCTTGTTTCAAGTGTGAAGATTTGACAAATAGAAAAAAGATTTCAACTAATAAAATATTTTTAATATTATTTAAATGTTTAGTTTGATGCTAACTTATTTTTTTCGATTCACGGTGCATGCAATTTGTAGATTTTGTACGTCTGCCTACTTTCATATTTTATCTAAGACAAAAAAAAATTTCATATTTTTTCATATCTATTGAAATTGATTTTTTTGTCAGGTGGAATCTTATGTGCACTTCAAGAACAGGGAAAACTGGATTTTTCCTTCAAGTTCTCTATACTAGTAGCAGGATATATATCCAGGTATACTTGATATCTCCAGTGTTCTATACTAGTAGCAGGATATATATCCAGGTATACTTGATATCTATATTAGTAGCAGGATATATATCCAGGTATACTTGATATCTTCAGTTCTCTATACTAGTATGAGGATATATATCCAGGTATACTTGATATCTCCAGTTCTCTATATTAGTAGCAGGATATATATCTAGGTATACTTGATATCTCCAGTTCTCTATACTAGTAGCAGGATATATATCCAGGTATACTTGATATCTCCAGTTCTCTATACTAGTAGCAGGATATATATCCAGGTATACTTGATATCTCCAGTGTTCTATACTAGTAGCAGGATATATATCCAGGTATACTTGATATCTCCAGTGTTCTATACTAGTAGCAGGATATATATCCAGGTATACTTGATATCTCCAGTTCTCTATACTAGTAGCAGGATATATATCCAGGTATACTTGATATCTCCAGTTCTCTATACTAGTATGAGGATATATATCCAGGTATACTTGATATCCCCAGTTCTCTATATTAGTAGCAGGATATATATCCAGGTATACTTGATATCCCAAGTTCTCTATATTAGTAGCAGGATATATATCCAGGTATACTTGATATCTCCAGTTCTCTATATTAGTAGCAGGATATATATCCAGGTATACTTGATATCTCCAGTTCTTTATACTAGTAACAAGACATATATCCAGGTATTTGTCGATATTTCTATATCCTTAAGATTTGAAAACTCCGTCTAAAATATCTAAAATGTACATATGTGCATTGATACTGTTTATATTTTGTACTCCATGGTTGTAATCTGACTCAAGTCAACTGTACTTATAAATAATTATCCCTCTAGAGTACTGAGGTTTAGTTTAGGCAAAATCAGATACATTCTTCTCATCCAGTTATCCAATAAATCTGTTCAGGAGCCAGCCCAGTAATAGAGAAATATTCGATATTCTAGCCAGCAAACAGGTTAATATTTACTATTATAATCAGCAAACAGGTTATTATTCAATATATTACTCAGCAACCAGGTTATTAGTCTAGTCAGCACATAGGTTATTATTCAATATATTACTCAGCACTTAGGTTATTGTTTAATATTCTAGTCAGCACCCAGGTTATTATTGAATATATTACTCAGCACCCAGGTTATTATTCAATATTCTAGCTAGCAGCCAGGATAATATTCAATTTTCTATCTATTAACCAGGTTAATAATCAATATTCTAGTCAGCAACCAGGTTATTATTTAATATTCTAGTCAGCAACCAGGTAAATATTTAATATTTTAGCCGGCAACCAGATTATTATTCAATATTCTAGTCAGCAACCAGGTTAATATCTGAGACAGCAACCAGGTTAATATTCAATATTCTAGTCAGCAACCAGATTATTATTCAATATTCTAGTCAGCAACCAGGTTAATATTCAATATTCTAGTCAGCAACCAGATTACTATCTGAGACAGCAACCAGTTTAATATTCAATATTCTAGCCATATTCAGTATTCTAGGATACCCTGTATTATTGTATTCTAGGATACCCTGCATTATTGTATTCTAGGATACCCTGTATTATTGTATTCTAGGATACCCTGTAGTATTATATTCTAGGATACCTTGTAGTATTGTATTCTAGGATACCCTGTATTATTGTATTCAGGATACCCTGTATTATTGTATTCTAAGATACCTTGTAGTATTGTATTCTAGGATACCCTGTAGTATTGTATTCTAGGATACCCTGTATTATTGTATTCAGGATACCCTGTATTATTGTATTCTAGGATACCTTGTAGTATTGTATTGTATTCTAGGATACCCTGTAGTATTGTATTCTAGGATACCCTGTATTATTGAATTCTACCCTGTAGTATTAGTATTGTGTTCTATTATTGTATCTGAGTTCTGATAAGAATTCAGATAAAGTTTCTAGTTCTGATAGTATATAAATGTTCAAAACTTTACAGATAAAAACCATTAAAAGTTTTTCTGCACATTATTTTAGAACTTGGTATAAACATATCTTCTTAATAATCATAATATCACGCTGGTTTAGGTATAGCTAAATATATCTTCTTAATAATCATAATATCACGCTGGTTTAGGTATAGCTAAATATATCTTCTTAATAATCATAATATCACGCTGGTTTAGGAAGAACAAAATATATCTTCTTAATAATCATAATATCACGCTGGTTTAGGTAGAACTAAATATATATTTTTCAGGGTACCATAGTGAATCGGAAAGGCAAGGGTTAATAACAGTCCCTTTAAATCTTTTTATAGAAATAATATAAGATGATATACGCCACAAACTCAAATTTTCTAATTCCTATATCTTTGCAACCTGAAAGTGTAAACCTATAATATTTCAAACTTAAAATAGGGTTTGAGTCTTGCTTAAAAAATGGATTGGTTTAGAAAAGTTTCCAAATGTATTCCTGGTATGATACAGTTCCAGAAAAACATTGCATTTTAGAGACAAGGGATTAAGGTTAAATAATTTATTCTCTTTATTGACCTCTTTCGTAACCCTTCTTAAATCAGGGGTCACTCGTGACATTTGGTTCACTTCCAAGCAAACCCTGCCGTAATAGAAACGGTTGCTACGTCATGTGTCCTACAATCATGTGTCCTACAATCATGTGTCCTACAATCATGTGTGCTACAAATCATTGGTCCTACAAATCGTGTGTCCTACAATCATTGGTCCTACAATCATGTGTCCTACAATCGTGTGTCCTACAATCATGTGTGCTACAAATCATTGGTCCTATAAATCATTTGTCCTATAAATCATGTGTCCTACAATCACGTGTCCTACAAATCATTTGTCCTACAATCATGTGTGCTACAAATCATTGGTTCTATAAATCATGTGTCCTACAATCATTGGTCCTATAAATCATGTGTCCTACAATCATGTGTCCTACAAATTATGTGTGCTACAAATCATTGGTCCTATAAATCATTTGTCCTACAATCATGTGTGCTACAAATCATTGGTCCTATAAATCATGTGTCCTACAATCACGTGTCCTACTAATCATTTGTCCTACAATCATGTGTGCTACAAATCATTGGTCCTATAAATCATGTGTCCTACAATCATTGGTCCTACAAATCATTTGTCCTACAATCATGTGTGCTACAAATCATTGGTCCTATAAATCATGTGTCCTACAGTCATTGGTCCTACAAATCATTTGTCCTACAATCATGTGTGCTACAAATCATTGGTCCTATAAATCATGTTTCCTACAATCATTTGTTCTATAAATCATGTGTCCTACAATCATGTGTCCTACAATCATGTGTGCTACAATCATGTGTCCTACAATCATGTGTGCTACAATCATGTGTGCTACAAATCATTGGTCCTATAAATCATGTGTCCTACAATCACGTGTCCTACAAATCATTTGTCCTACAATCATGTGTGCTACAAATCATTGGTCCTATAAATCATGTGGCCTACAATCATTGGTCCTATAAATCATGTGTCCTACAATCATGTGTCCTACAAATTATGTGTGCTACAAATCATTGGTCCCTTAAAATCATGTGTCCTACAACCATTTGTCCTATAAATCATGTGTCCTACAATCATGTGTCCTACAATCATGTGTGCTACAAATCATTGGTCCTATAAATCATTTGTCCTACAAATCATTTGTCCTACAATCATGTGTGCTACAAATCATTGGTCCTATAAATCATTTGTCCTATAAATCATTTGTCCCGCACAATGAAGTGTAGGATTTGTCCTCTCTCAGAAGGACAATCGATGTATAGGCCAAATGATTTGTAGAATAAATGTTTTGAAGGACAAATGGTTGTAGGAAAATGACAGAACGCCATAGAACGTAATATATTGATAAAGTATTGTGGAGGTTTAGAAATATGGGGAAAAATAAATAATCTTATTTGTTTTTATTTATTCTAATAAGTTAGAAACATGTGTAGACATAGTATACACGAAACACCAAGTCTGGATAAAAAGTAGAATCATAATCTTAAGAAAAGTATAATGGGCTTTAATTATATAAATGTAATTTAGAAAATACAGGGCTACTCACAAAGGATTAGAATGTAAAGACAACCCAAAACTCTTATAGTTTGAAGCTTGATTTTTGGTTTTTACCTTCAAATTAGTATTTTAATATGTTTTATTAAACGATTAAGCTCAGAAATAAGCAATTTTTATTAACTCTAGGGGGGGGGCGTTCGGCACCCCCCATGTAGTTTTTTTTTTCCCTCCCTCTAGCTTTTTTGACACTTTCACCGTCAAATTTTTTTACTTTTAATTAATAGAAATTAAAAGGATTTCTTTAAAAAAAATGTTTAATGCATTGGGTAGGGCGGTAAAAAGTCCAGTTCGCGAAAAAAATCTAAAATAACTTTCTTGTCACTTAGCTACAGATCTAAAAACTATATCTTTGAATAGCCATTCTAAAATGGAATTGATATTTGTTTAAAAAAAAGAATTATTTTTTTACATTTTTTTTATCCTTTTGGGGGGATTTTTTTTCAACCCTCCTTAGCACCTAGACTATTAAAATTATCGGTCTAATTTTTTGTTCAGTGATCTGGCCTTGACAAATTGGGCTATTAACATCCATTTCTATCCTATACCTATACCTATACTCTAAGGTATTTTTCGAGGGGGGGGGGGGGCTGGGACGAAGCTAAAAATAGATTCAGACACATTAGCCGCTTATCTTGTCCACAAGTTCAAGTTGAAAATAAGTGCTTACATTTATTCTATGCACTTCAACTATTTCTCCCTATTCTAGGGTTCTAGGGTTTCTTTTTAGACAATGTTCTTACCGTTATATCTTTGCAACCTTATATTTCATTTTGATACTTTAAACTATAAATGATACTGGCTGATTCTGTCCTGTCCGTCTCTGTAATCTTTTTCTTTGTGGGTAACCCAATGTGAATGATTTTTAATGCATATCTGAAATTGCATATTCTGTTAATATAACACTTATCAAATCTTGAAAAAGTCTGAATCAAATCTCAAATTCAAAAAATGGATGTGTTACAATTATTATCTTTAATTTATATTCTATATTTTATTATTAAGGTGATACTAGCAGAGCAGAGTATAGACCTATCCAAGTATTTTTCCTGCTTGAGTGTACTGGAGCACGAGGGTGGGCACTACCTGCCAGCCACCGGTCAACCTAAACTTAAACTTCAGGATTTCTTGACACAGATGCAAGAAATCTGTTTCAAGTAAACTTGTATTTGTTTTTTGAATAAAATTTATTCAATTATATTTTTTTGAATATTAATCGAATATTTAGGATCAATATGGAGACAAGAATTGAGTCTTTGTTACAAGCTCGAATTTTCTTATCAATATATCTTTGCAACCTGATTGTGTAAACCTTTTAGATTTTAAGCTTAGATTATTTGATCTAACTCAGAGTTTGTGGCTAAGACTCAATTCCTTTTCTCCACATTTCAAGTTAATATATGATAATAACAATAGAAAGATAAGGTAGAGAGAACTAAGATTGAAATGCTCGTAAATTGTGCGACCTGTTTTAGTACACCCTTCAACATTTATAAATTATTCAAATCTTATTTTCGTCGCTATAAATCAAAGTTTATTGGGACACCCTATCACCCAGATTTCGATTCTTCTCATAGCAAGCGGTCACCTTCGATCCCTTTTTGAACAATAAAGCATACCTTTTTCGTTTTTTCCTTTTATACTTTTTTTTTGTCGGCATATTAGGATTTAGTTTAAGAAGTTAAAAATGTCAACTCTGAAGGATTAATGGTTATAGAATTATATAACAAAAGGCGATTAAATTCTGATTAAAGAAACCGCGGATAGACCAAGCTCTGATTAGATGAGGGTGCGGAATCATAAAAAATTAGTACATAGATATGAGCAAGAGAATTTTATCTCGGGAATTTTATGTTAAAAATGTGTTAAAGTAGTTTGGAAAATGTTTTATTACTGTAAACTCAACCTTTAAACCTTCATTCAATTTTTGCATGAATATTCTCAAACTCGATTTAAACCGATTTTCAAAATAAGAGCAGTTTTTTATTTTTAACTACAGAGGGGGGGGCAAGGTGTTAAAGACTCATGAACAAGAGAGAGAGCGGTAGTTGAACTAGCTACATTTAGCTCAACTGCCACCGAGATAATTTTAGTTGAACTAGCCATAACATTTAGCTCAACAGCCACCGAGATAATCATAACTAGCTACATTTAGCTCAACAGCCACCGAGATAATCTTAGTTGAACTAGCTACATTTAGCTCAACTGCCACCGAGATAATCTTAGTTGAACTATCTACATTTAGCTCAACTGCCACCAAGATAATCTTAATTGAACTAGCTACATTTAGCTTAACTCCCACCAAGATTATATTAGTTGAACTAGCTACATTTAGCTCAACTGCCACCGAGATAATCTTAGTTGAACTATCTACATTTAGCTCAACAGCCACCAAGATAAACTAGAACCAGCGTAGAAAAAGAGGTTAAACTAGTTGTACACTAATGCTTCTTATTGTGTGTGTTTTTGGAGCCAATAACGGCTGTACCGATTTACATTTTTTTGTGGTGTCCGATGTGGATTTAAAAATTGTTCGCTAAAAACGTAATTTTTTTTTTTAACTGAACCCCATTCATGGAAACAGATAAATATGAGTAATTATATGAAGAAAAAAGCAACATTTACTGAAATTATTAGAAAAAAAAGCTGAGAGCGTCTTCAAGCTTAGTTTTATAAATCTACTGTTTACAGGGAGGACAATATAATCTTTTCCAGTTTTTAAAATTAAAAATTATATTAAAAGACTCATTTCTAATGAACATCGAGCGGCATTTCTATTATTATTCATAAAATAAAAACAATTAATAGGAATGAAGATTTTAGTCTTGAATAAGAACTTATTTGCTTAAACTATTTCTGCGGAAAAATTATAATTGGAGAAATGGCAACACCCCCAACTCCATGTACTTAATTAAAAAAGTGATGCAACTACTCTTCAAAGAAATGAACAAAAAAGAACTCATGAATTTGTAATTAAACCCAACTAAAAAGTACTAAGGAGACACCCTGTAAGAAATCTGTAAGTTTAAGTATGATAAAATTTTGTAAAGATTGTCTAGAACTGTTGTTTAATGTTTAGTGTGGAAAGAAGACAGTTTGGTCAAATCTGTTCCTTTCCTTTTTCCTTCCGGACAGTTGCTTCCGGACAGTTGCTTGTCTCCGTATAGTTTAAGTTTAGTAACGTGTTCTAGTAGTTAGTAGAAAAACTGTTAAAAATAATTAAGACTAGTGCATTGGAACATTCAAAGAATTGTAACTACTGAGGATCGTCATGATAGACGTGAAACATAATGTTTAGTGTAATTATTTTTTAATAAAAAATTTGAAGTTAAAAACTGAAATATATGTGTATATGTATGTATATATGTCAGCTAGAGTTGGCCAAACGGCTGAACCGAAAAAGCTGAAATTTTTGAATGAATCCATGGGTTCCCTGGGGGTAACATAGGCAAAAAAATCGATTTTATTTATTCTCCAAAAATAGATTTTTTTAATTCAAATTCTTCTTTTAATTCGAAATTTTTTTATCAGGGGCAACGTTGGGCACTTCAGCTAGTGTAATATATTTCGATATCTTAATATAAAAATGTAAAAAATATTTTACATTTAGGTTTAGGACTAAAAGGTAGAGACCGTTAGACAGGAATTGAGTATTTGCCACAAACTCAAGGTTTTTAATCTCTATATCCTTGCAACCTGATTTACCTTTGATATTTCAAACCTAGATTATTTAATCTAATTGAATTCATAGATTGAAATATCCAAGGTCTACGACATCACATTTGGATACAAAGATATAGGGATTAGAAATTCAGAATTTCTGGTAAATACTCAATTCCTTTATCTGTAATATGAGTTAGAAAGGGAATTTGATTTTTACATTTAATCAAAAGTTAAAGCAAAGCTCCATTTGTGAATTGAAAGCTGTGAATTATACTGTATCTAGGTTCATAATAATCTGGTTTGAGGATAGGTTTGAAAACTGTAAACTATACTGTATCTAGGTTCATAACAACCTGGTTTGAGAATAGGTTTGAAAGCTGTAGACTATACTGTATCTAGGTTCATAATAACCTGGTTTGAGAATAGGTTTGAAAGCTGTAAACTATACTGTATCTAGGTTCATAATAACCTGGTTTGAGAATAGGTTTGAGCGACTCAAATTGAAAGCTGTAAACTATTCTGTATTTAGGTACAAGATGAACTGGTTTGAACAAAGGTTTGAACAGCTCCAATTAAAAACTAGAAACTCTGTCTATATAGATGATGCAGTATCACCGGACGGAAGAAGATTTTCAAAGGTTTGATATAAAATTTAAAAATGAAAATAATATTAAAAGATTAAATGGTTTATTTGAAACCTTTTAGTGCTCTCGAGTTTAGGATTAATTCTTTTATTAAATATCATTATTTAACAAGATAAATCCCACTTTTTTATTTATAATTATATGTTTTACTAAAAAATACGTTCAACCCTCTTGTGATTCTAAACAATAACATGTGAGAATATTTTAGCTAGCTGGTGTCTGAAAAAAGTTAAAATTATTCTTTTTTAACAACAAAAAATACGATTTTTTGTATTTTTTGTATGTAAACGTTGGATGACCAAAATATACATTTTGAACTGTACAGAATATATGTAAAATTGTACACATGTAAATAAGAGTTTATGCGTTTCAGTAAAATTGAACAAGGAAATTAAATTTCATTTTCAGTTTTCAATTTCCGATATATTCCCGAATATTTGTTTTCGCTTTTACAATTTACCCAACCTTAAAACTTAATGTTATATATAATATATACCACACATAAATATTGTTTAAAACTTAATGTTATACATAATATATACCACACATAAATATTGTTTAAAACTTAATGTTATACATAATATATACCACACATAAATATTGGTTTAAAACTTAATGTTATACATAATATATACCACACATAAATATTGTTGAAAACTTAATGTTATACATAATATATACCACACATAAATATTGTTGAAAACTTAATGTTATATATAATATATACCACACATAAATATTGTTTAAAACTTAATGTTATACATAATATATACCACACATAAATATTGTTTAAAACTTAATGTTATACATAATACATACCACACATAAATATTGTTTAAAACTTAATGTTATACATAATACATACCACACATAAATATTGTTTAAAACTTAATGTTATACATAATATATACCACACATAAATATTGATTAAAAACTTAATGTTATACATAATATATACCACACATAAATATTGAATAAATACTTCACTGGGATATTTAAATATGATCAAAAATATGCAAGATACCGTTGTTCTTCTCACTCGAAAACTTTTTATTTCTGTGAATTTCTCAATTTCTTCTTATAAGCAAGGAATGCTCAAGTCACTTTTGCAGAGAACCCGCAAATGAAAAAACGGCCTTTAGAAACTAAATCAGGAATATGTTATTCATAATAAGTCAAACAAAGCTGTAAGGTCCTTTAATGGAGAAAACCTGTAATAACTTGGTTACAGTTCTAATTCAAGAAATCAAGTTTAATAGGAATATGAAATTGACGCACCCAACACCGGGTGTCCCAATAAACGTGAGAATTTAGAAAATTTTATTTTACTTGATAAATTAAATTCTCCGTCCGTCCGTCTCCAAATAGATTATCAAGTACAATAGGTGGCAACAGAGATATGGACCAATTATACACGACGTCACAAATGTCAAGTAAAACATATTAGTTGACATGTTTTCCAGGTTAAACAATTGATGAAACTACATCCTATGCAGCCATATATAAACTTGTATATATTTCTTATATAAGTCTATGCATCTATGCATCCTATGCTTCATGGTATATATGAATATATGACGTTAACGATATATAAAATGTATATAAACTATGCATCTATGCATCCTATGCATTTAAAAAAGGGTATTATTATTCCTATGGTCTCATATTAGACCTCTAATGTCTGTTATTTATGTTGAAAAATGTGAAAAGAAGATGTTTGTCAATTGATCTGGAATATATCTAGATAATGAGTAAAGTGAAATGAGTAATTAGTAAATTATTTAGAAAACCACTGAATATCAGAATCCTAGACAAAAATATTCTCTCATTTTTCTTTTCTGATAGAGGTGAATGGAACAATAAATTAATACATAACTTTAATAGAAGGGGATCACTCATTTGGCTTACTGTCCAGCTTTGCAATACATAGTCTGTAATTGTACTGTACAGCTTGCTCTAGTTGGTTTAAAGTCGGCCCGCTATTAAAAAAGAACCAGAGTTTACAGAATTTACAGAGTTTACTCAACACATCGCCACAAACTTTGCATAGGTATTTTCCTAAAGGGAACTTCCTAAGTGAAAATTTCCCAAGTGGCAACTTCCAATTTTTTATTAGGTTGCAATAGGGCCGGGCGCTGCGGCTGGAACAGACTTGGCAAGTTATCGCATCTAATTTTCGCACCTCGGCAAGCTCCATATCGCAGCAAACTTGAACTATTTGAATTATAATAATCCATAGCAATTCATAAAGGGTTGACGAGCATTCACTCAGGTTCAATTTCTTGGTTAAATTGATCAGTTTTTGGTTAATTATCGTCTCTAATCTAAAGAAAAAAGCTCATCACTCATTTGGATCTAATTGACTGAAAGGAATTGAGTCTTTGCAACAATTACTCCAATGTTCCAATCCCTTTATCTTAGCCACCTGATGTTGTAAACCTTTAATGTTTCAAACTTAGATTTTTTGATCTGACAGAATGTATAGCTTGAAATATCTAAGGTCTCCAAGATTGGGTTGCAGAGATATAAGGATTAGAAAATCAGAGTTTGTGGCAAAAACTCAATTCCTTTGTTGAGTAAACCGATGTGTACCCTGGGGGTGATATCTATTTATCTATGGCTAAAAAATTACGTATTACGTATTATGTAACTTTATGTTTAATGTTTAATAGTTTATATTGTATAATGTATACACATTACGAATATATTCAGGTCATAGATATATGTCCGTACATATCTTATTATATATTTGTCATGTCTTTGTTTTATGTATTGTACTTTAATTTCTCTGGAAAAAAATTGAGCACTTAAAGCATTAATTGGATTCAGAGTAAAGTATTGATCTAACAATTTTCCATTGTTTTCCACAGACTTCTCTTTATCCAGCTGAATTCAATCCAATTTTTCTGTTACAATTGCGTTGTTGACAAAAAACCGGAGTTCTTGCAAATTTCGCATGACATAAAATCAAATAGTATAATCACTTTATTTTTGCAACCTGATAGATACAGTAAACCTTTCATATTTTAAACTGTCAATTTCCTGAGGCGCGTAATCTTTATTATGATTACTTATTTTAAAATTTTACACATTGTGACGTTCAATAAAAGAGTCCAAAGAAACTGAGTTTTTGCCACAAACTCAAATTTTCTAATCCATCTATATCTTTGTTACCTGTTAGTTTCAAACCTTTTATATTTCAATATTTTATCTGATAGAATTCACAGTTTAAAAAAATGAATGATCTAAGACATCAGTTTGCAAAGATATAATGATAAAAAATCAGAGGTTGTGGCAAAATATTAAGAAAAACTATGTAGTTGTAAAAGAAACCCTTGAAAACTGCAATGGTTATTTTGACGGGTTGGATCTGGGAACAAGTTCAAACGGTTTAAAACACGTAATTTTGTGTTAGATCGTGCTCATTTTGGATTTCGGTCCCAACTGGTGACCAGTCCATTTAGTCAACATAGCTTCTACTTTCTTACTGTTTACAAAGAAGGTTTCACTCTCATTCATCCTTGCTTCCGTAATTATCTAACATCCGTTGTCGACAACATTTTCTTCCTATACTAGTGCCGACATATACTTAGCTTTGTCGGGAAACTAACTTCTATTTCTAATATTTTATCCTTTTCCTCAATTTAAATTTGAGGCAAATTGGTTAAATGTTCAATGCTGGATCCTCAAGACCCCAAGGAAGGAATATGACCCGTCGAAAAGTTTTTATTAAAAAAATATTATAAATTTCAGCAAATAAAACGGAAATTTGAAAAGTCTTAAATACTGTTATTTTATATGTACTGTACGCATATTTTGTTAAAGTAAATAAATTATTTGTAAAAGCTGAAGGAACGTAGCTAATTCTTTCCACAAAGGAATTGAGTCTTTGCCACAAACTCAAATTTTCTAATCCATATTTCTTTACAACCTGCTGGTGTAAATCTTTGATATTTCAAACTTATAATATTTGATCTGTCAGTGTTCATAGTTTGAAATATTTAAGCTCTAAGACAATGGATTGCACAGATATAGGGATTGGAAAATCAGAGTTTCTGACAAAGACTCAATTTCTTTTCTAATTCCTAAATCTTTGAATCCAATGTCATACACCTTTGATATTTCAAATTATTAATTCTGTATAGATCTAATAATTAAGGTTTGAAATAGGTGCAAAGGGATAAGAATTAGAAAATTTGAGTTTGCGGCAAAAACTAAATTCCTTTAAAATAAGAAAGAGGGTTGCTAGCTTACTATAAATCATAAAATGTAAAAGTCATTCTCTCTTTTTTATCTGTAAAATATCCTAGGATTTGTTTCCAGGAGCTTGAGATAGGATTAGAGCTGGGTAAGGGTGGATATGGTTTAGTAAAACTAGCAACTAATAACAAGGTAAGTTTATCAAATTAAAATATATTACGTGTCTATATCATGATCCTAATTCATTTTCAATCTAGATATTTTTCTAATTTCTACTTTATATATTTGCTGGTATATATATTTTTGGGTGGATATGTTTTCATCATTTGTCGTGGTGACCGCTGCTATGTGCTTTTAAAATAATCTAAAAATATTGAAAAAATTTCAACATTAACATATTAAACTTTTTAAAGATCTGTAAATCCTGAGTTTGAGCGCAAATTCGACGTTCAAAACTCCTACTTTGGGGGTGGATACGTTTTCAGAATTAGTTTTTTTTTTAATTATTAAATAACGACAACGAAAAATGAAGTAAAAATTATACAGTAATCTAATTAGATGGCTAGGAACATATTTCTCAAAAGAAATTTGTCAATAAATCAATGCTAACATCGATTATTTCGTTTTCATTATTATATTGAATTTCTAATTTTCTTTGAATTTATTCGCAGATTTCTTCAAATTCTTTAAATGTCGTCTTTTCAATAATAATTATAGAAAATCTGCGAACATCTTTGTGAATAATGAGAAACCAGAATAATGACATAATAGAAACTAATAATTGAACAAGATTACTTATTTTCGATGATAAGATTAATTTTTATTTTCTCAAAATGTTCCTAAACATGACGTCTGTAGTTTATTGTAGAATATTTTTACATTTTATGTCGTCGTTACTTAATAATTTAAAAAAAAACTAATTCTGAAAGCGTATCCACCCCCAAAGTAGGAGTATTGAACGTCGGCTTTACACTCAAACTCAGGATTTACCGATCTTTAAAAAGTGTAATATGTCTCAAATGAATCCGAAAGAAGTTTTCCACAACATTGCAAACTCAGTTCAACTACCTTACATAGCCGGTCACTCCCTTAAAATGTTGTAATTTCTAGATTATATAATCGGAGGTGTTTCGTCAAATAGGTGTACAGGATATTTAAGAGGTTGATAGAGGGGTTGTTAATATATAGCGTAAAGAAGGAAAATTTGTATTTCTATTGACTGGTGTGAATCGGACATTGCCACTTTTAAATGGACGGTTACTTAAAATTACGTCTACAGTTTAAGTAAAAACTGAAGAAAAAAACTATGACCATATCCTTAATTGTCATAAATTCAAAACATTTCTTCTCTTTTATTTAATCAAAATTCTTCAGGAATTTCTTTTTGTGCTTAACGTAAAAAGAAAATTTCAAAAGTTTTTAAAAAACAATTCTCATTAATGGATGAAAATAATCCTGATTGAAAGGAGCAAGGAGGTCTAAATGTACTTTTAAGTTGGTAGGGAATATAATTTATTAAATACTAAACTTGTGGTCGCCACATTTTATCAGGTCTTGACAATCTATTCTGTAAACAAACGGTAAATACACTAACTAAACTAAAAGTTTTTATTTTTTAAAAACGAACAGATAATTTATGAGATTGTTTGTTCCATTCATTTAAAGGGAGTGACCGGCAATGTATGGTGGTTGAACTGAGAATGTTGTATTGTTGAGAATTTTTTTAGGATTCATTTGAGACATACAAACATTTTAATAATGTATAATTACTGAGTTTGATCATAAAGTCGACGTTCAAAATCCTTCATTAAGTGTGGTTACGTTTTGAGAATCGATTTTTTAAAATAATAAAATAACGCCAAAAAATGTAAAAAATATCAACAGTAAACTAATTAGATGTTTAGGAACATATTTCTCAATTGAAATTTTGACAATAAATCAATGTTAGAATCAATTATTTCTTTTTTATCCTTAGATCGAATTTCTTGTTCTTTATGAATTTGTTCGCAGATTTCTTCAAATTCTTTAAATGTCGTCTTTTCAATAAAAATTCCAGGATATCTACAGACAATGTTTGTGAACAATGAGATATTACAGAAACCAATAATTCTGAATAAGATTACATATTTTCGATGATAATAGTTAATTTTTTGTCTTCTGAACCTGTTCCTAAACAACTACTTACTTTACTATATAAGTTTTACTACATTTTTCGTCGTCGTTATTGAATAATTTTTTTAAAACCGATTCTCAAAATTAATCCCTCAGAAATGACCAATCTATTAGGATTTTAAAGATTAAATTTGCGCTTTCGATGAACAAATATGCACCGTAAAAACGTCTCATAGGTCTCAAAATCTCCACAAAACTACATTCTCAGTTCAACTATCATACATTGCCGGTCACCCCCCTATAAAAACCGTGTGAGATATAAGGACATGTTGTGCTCTAGCTGGTTTCGTGTGAGATCTTGCTTTTCTCTAGCTAGTTTCATTTGAAATATTAGACTATCCTATGCTCTAGTAAGTTTCGCTGGAAATATGTGGACATTCGGTTCTTTGGCTAGTTTCCTGTGATACATCCATTTTTAAAATAGTTTCATGTGAAATATGAGGACATGCTTTTCTCTAGTTAGGTTCGTGTTGGATAAGAGGACATGCTTTTCTCTAGTTAGATTCGTGTTGGATAAGTGGACATGCTTTTCTCTAGTTAGATTCGTGTTGGATAAGAGGACATGCTTTTTTTCTAGTTAGATTCGTGTTGGATAAGAGGACATGCTTTTCTCTGGCTAGATTCGTGTTGGATAAGAGGACATGCTTTGCGAAAAAATTATGTTTAATAGGTCGAATAGTTAAATCCGCGGTGGGGAAGGGAGGTAAGGAAAGGAAAGACGTGAAGGAGAGGGTATGTGAGGGGAAGGATGGGACGAGAAGGATATTTGAGGGGGGAGAAGGAAATAGGAGGGTATGTGAAGGGAGGGAAGAAAAACTGAGTAGAAGAAATGCGAGGTGAGGGAAGGCGAGAATGCTAGGGAGGGAAGGCGAGAATGCTAGGGAAGGAAGGCGAGGGGAGGGAAGGCGAGGTGAGGGAAGGCGAGAATGCTAGGGAAGGAAGGCGAGGAGAGGGAAGGCGAGAATGCTAGGGAAGAAATGTGAGGGAAGGGAAGGCGAGGGCAGGAAAGGCGAGGGGAAGGAAGGCGAGGTGAAGGAAGGCGAGGGGACGGAAGGCAAGGTGAAGGAAAGCGAGGGAAGGAAGGCGAGGATATGGGAGGGAATACATAAGTGAAGTGGAGGAATAGGAAGGAAAGCATTTAGATTTCTAGTCAAAACCAAAAGTCATCGATTATTTTTCGATGCAATCATATATAGTTAATATTTCATAATATTTGTTGTTAAAAACGACTGCAGAAGATCATAGCGTCCATACAAATTCAGAAAGTTGCAATATACGACTCGGATCGTAAAAAAATCAATTTAATTTCAAACAAATCATTCAGATATTACAACCTATAGTCATCAATTATTTTTCGAAGCATTCATATGTATTTAATATACGTTTTGTATACAATGCACTTAAAACGCCGAATTGGTTGGCCGCTAGATGTCTCAGCTCTCGATGCTTTGAATGATTACACCTGGCAGAGACACCTAGCGGGAAAAAAGACGTTTTAAGTGCATTGCGTATCAAACAAATAACAAATATTATTAATTATTAACAGTTAGAAGTAAGATTATTAGCGTTCAACGGCGATTATTTTTCGCTGAATGTCTATACACCTTTTTATTTTTCGCGAATCCTCCCTTTGAACTATGATAGTTTTCCCTGTGATGGTTACCTTTGATAAATAATAAAATAAAAATCATGATTTTATTGATTTGAGAAAATAAAAGGTCAAATGAACAAAATGTGTAATTTAAGTGATTTGTAACTTTTTTATCTTACAGGATTATTTGACACTTCATTTCATTTCAACAATATTAGCTTTAACTGTAGCTCTGAAAGTCGCAATTTTTAATCATTCTCAAATTTTTGGAATTTTTTCTAATGCCTATTTGCATATTTCAAAAATGATGAATGTCGATTTTTTTACTTTTATTAAGGTTACAAACAAGCAAACTATATATTTTTATTTTAAATAGAACTATTTTTATCGCCCTTTAAATAAAATAAAATTGTTCTTGGAAATATTTTTTATGAAATTAGAAGAACCGTATTTCACTTCATCAATATTTGTTTAGGGTTTGAGGTTTGGAGTAAAGCTGGTGGAGAAAAATAGAATATTGAAATGGACTTATGAAGAGAGGAAGGGAGAGAGTTTATCTTTACCCCTGGAGTTTAGTATTCTCAATAAACTCAACTATCCATCAATACTCAAGGCAGGATAAACATAGATTAGAGAGAATATATTCAGGTTTAGTCTTGTTAAACATAACTCAGGATAAACATAGATTAGAGAGAATATTAGGTTTAGTCTTGTTAAACATAATTCAGGATAAACATAGATTAGAGAGAATATATTAGGTTAAGTCTTGTTAAACATAACTCAGGATAAAGATAAAGAAGTTTAAAGATCTGTTGAGGATGTTTTTCAAGTTATTTGAATACAAGATTTATGAATTGTCTCTTTAAATTGAGAATTTTTATTTGCAAAAGTTAATTTTAAATAAATCTCGTTCCATGTCATATTGTAGAACTGTAAAATAAATGGAGTAATACAAAATTCAAGAACCGCCATTGTACATTTACAAGGCCTTCGAAGAAAATTTTAACTCGACAAAACTGAAGGCTGTAACCTTAGTCACCGATTTTTAATTAATATAACAATTTTTCATCCGGAAATCTTGGGATTTAATTGCATCAAATTATTCTATTTCGCCGAAAAATATACTTACTTTTATAATATTTTCAGCACTAATTGAAAACAAACTTTCTGTATTTTATCTTTATCATTGTCAAGGTTGTAGACGTGTTTGAGAGTTTGGAATACTTTCAAATAGTTGTTGAGTTGGTTCAAGGAATATCTCTCTTTGATCTAATAGAGAAGAACGGACACCTGGAAGAGGAGGTTGCTAGATGGATCTTTCTCCAGGTATACATCCATTCTTTCTCCAGGTACACATCCATTCTTTCTCCAGGTACACATACGTACTTTCTCCAGGTACACATCCGTACTTTCTCCAGGTACACATCCGTTCTTTCTTCTGGTAAACATTCGTTCTTTCTCCAAGTACACATCTGTTCATTCTCCAGATATACATTCGTTCTTTCTCCAGGTACACATCCGTTCTTTCTCCAGGTACACATACGTACTTTCTCCAGGTACATCCGTTCTTTCTTCTGGTAAACATTCGTTCTTTCTCCAAGTACACATCTGTTCATTCTCCAGATATACATTCGTTCTTTCTCCAGGTACACATCCGTTCTTTCTCCAGGTACACATCTGTTCTCTCTCCAGGTATACATCTGTTCATTCTCCAGGTACACATCCGTACTTTCTCCAGGTACACATCCGTACTTTCTCCAGATACACATCCGTTCTTTCTCCAAGTATACATCTGTTCATTCTCCAGGTACACATCAGTTCTTTCTCCAGGTACACATCAGTTCTTTCTCCGGGTACACATCAGTTCTTTCTCCAGGTACACAATCCGTTCTTTCTCCAGGTACACATCTGTTCTTTCTCCAATTACACAATCCGTTCATTTTATCCGATCTTTCTTATGAAACACAATCCATTCTTTATCGTGGTTCTCATCCGTTCTTTCTCATGGGACACATAATATTACTTCAGATACACAGTTCTAGTACCTGATTACTTTCAATACTAAAAATTCAAATCATGTATCAATGTTTGAATTTTACATTTTTCTAATTTTTAAAAATATTTTAGGTTACTGACGCAATAAGGATTGGAAGAAACATAGTTTACAACCCTACTTTTCATTTTGAAATCAAAAACCTTTTTTTAAAAATTATTTCTTTATAACAGTTCAAGTTTAAAGACTAACGTGCTATATCTTGCAAACATACAGGGTGGCGTTATTTTTACATAATCACTGCTTGTGAATTAAACGTATTGGTTTTTATATATTTTTACAATTTTAAACTAGTTTAGTGACAACCATTGCAGACATTCTCCGGTCTCTGGTTTTTTCGTTTTGTAATTATTGTCAATTTAAAGATTAAGCATAGTTTATCTTACTTTTATGTCGAAATAATCCATCCTTTCTTAAAACTTATTTTAGAAAAATTTGGTATTTTTCTTGTTTTAAATATATTTTAATCTGCAGGATTCAAAGAAAATTCACCAATTTTTCATCTTGGCCATTTTTTCCTTAGAGCTTGCTAAAGCGTTCTAACTGTCATATATTTTATTTAACTGTTCCACACATTTGCTTTTCATTTTGAAATCAATAATCAAAGATAGCGTTTATAAAGTGCACCAAACCATTCATATTCTGCATTCGATTTATCTTTAAAGCCTTAATCTTAAACATTTGTAACTTTTAGAAATATTGCAATATCATAGACCATGCTGGAGAAAGTTTTAATGTTTCTAATCCTTCCATATCCTACCTTCCAGATACTTACATGGAGTAGGGGTTCTTCATAACGATATCAAGGTATAGATACAGATACAGATACAGATACAGATACAGACACAGATACGGATATAGATATGGATACGGATACGGATACGGATACGGATACGGATACGGATACGGATACGGATACGGATACGGATACGGATACGGATATGGATACGGATACGGATACGGATACAGATACCGATATGGATACGGATATGGATACGGATATAGATATGGATATGGATATGGAAATGGATATGGATACGGATATTGATATTGATATTGATATGGATACGGATACGGATACGGATACGGATACGGATACGGATACGGATAAGGATACAGTACAAAGAATTGTTATACGTACATGTCAGTTTCTTAAAAGGCATAAGTATCAATCCGTCTAACTAACTTTCTAGCTTGTTAACTTTCTAACTTTCCAAGTTTGTTAGTTTCTAATTTGTAAATAAGCTGGCTATAATCTTGAATGTGAATATGATAGCGGACATTAGCCAAGTTTCTAAACTCATCCTTAACTATACATAAGCAGGAGAATGAATTGTATTTAAAATAAATATTCAAGAATAATCAATTCTTAAAGAACACTGCATAAAATATATTCTTGAATATTCTTTTACTCTTTTCTAGGATGAGAATATAATGGTGAATAAGTCAGGAGAAATAAAATTGGTGGATTTCGGATCCGCTTGCTATCATTCAAATATTCTTACAAGGTACACTACACTACACTACACTACACTACACTACACTACACTACACTACACTACACTACACTACACTACACTACACTACACTACACTAAACACCACACCACACCACACCACACCACACCACACTACACTACACTACACTACACTACACCACACCACACTACACCACACTACTCTACACTACATTAATCTAGGAATTATTGTGGTTCTGAAACTTACTCTAGTCCTGAGGTTGCTAAAGAGAAGAAATATTGTAGAACTTTGCAAGAAATCTGGTCTTTAGGGGTAACTAAATTATGTATATTAACTTTTGGCACCAGAGGGAAAAATATGTTGGGTCTTCTTGACAAAGAAAGTTCTATATTTAACTGGTTTTTTTGCAATTAACCAATTGTAGAGAAAATCTAAATCAGTAACTTACTTAATTGGAGAAATTTGCTTATTGAATGTGGAGTATTTATAGGTTTTGTTGTTCGTGATGGTTTGTGGCTCAGCTCCGTTCCAAACTATTCTCCAGGTTCAGGACGGAGATCCAGAATATCCCCCAGGGATTCATCTATCACAGGTACATAAACATTATTCACGTCAAACATAAAGTAGATTTTATGTTTGAAATGTATGAGTTTTGAATTTCTAATATGTAACCAAATACTTTTTCAAACTTCGGATTAATATTGTGAAAACTACTGGATAATATGGTGAAAACTACTGGATAATTAGAGGGAAACTAAAGGATAATATGGTGAAAACAACTGGATAATTAAAGGGAAACTACTGGATAATATGGTGAAAACTATTGCATAATTAGAGGGAAACTACTGGATAATTAAAGGGAAATTACTGGATAATATGGTGAAAACTATTGGATAATTAGGGGGAAACTACTGGATAATTAAAGGGAAATTACTGGATAATATGGTGAAAACTATTGGATAATTAGAGGGAAACTACTGGATAATATGGTGAAAACTACTGGATAATTAAAGGGAAACTTTTTTAAGATCTAGATATTTATTGTCTTCTTATTTAAAGCATATAATAAGTCATTGACGATAAGAGGGTATGAGGATTGAATAGAAATTTTTAATATAAGAATCATTTGCATATAATTTGGGCAATTTATGTAGAAATCAGTTTGCGCAAACACTTTACAATTTTCATGAAACAATGGTATAAAGTCAATGTACACTATATGGAAAATACACAGATTGTATCAACGCAGAACATTGACGGTTCTTCGTTGGTATGGCATTACATTAGTTAAACTATGTAGTCTTGATGCTATTTAGCCAACGTAAAGATAGAAAACAGGGGGGGTGAACCGATTTTCGACCCCCCTCAGCATATTTTGTCCCCTTCTCGCCCCCTATCTCACTTGGCTCCAGCATGATCATGATTGTGAATCATCTATTATCAAATTTTGTCAATTAAGAAAAAATACCAAAATTTTTCTTCGGCTCTTCACGCATCATTTCTAATAGAATTTCTAACTATTTTCTCGTTTTTGACTTACAGGAACTCAGTCTTAATTTATCCTCTAAAAAACTTGTATATATGTTACTTCTCATGAGTATTACAATACATATACCATTTAAGGTTACACAAAACCTGACAATCTAAGAAGAATAACAATAAGAAATATAATAAGGATTATATTGGACTATCAGGACTTTTGAAGACTAGAAGAGGAAAACAGGCATAATCCCTTACTGGCAAGCAATGATAGAGGGACTATTATGGATTATGGACAGAAGAAATAAAGTCGAGTACTACCAGGAAATACATAGGAATGCACAGGCCTACGATTAAGGGACAAATATGACTAGAAAACGAATTAAAAAAAGATACACTAAGAAATACATGAAAAGACGTTAAAAGAACAGAATTTTTGTTGGCGCTTCGCGCACATGTCTCAATAAATAACTCATCCAGATTCAGGTTAGGTTTTAGCAACCTGTTGACAGTATACATTCTGAAACTGTTTGAAGTAAATTTTTTGTAATAACAAGAACAAGCCATCAATATTATAATAATTTGGTATATTATTGAGCACTGAGCCAACCCTTCAACCCTTTTAAAAAATGCTGTTTTTTACCTCAAATCAAAGTTTTTTCTCTTTTACTACTAGATTTATAATGGTATGATTGGTAATTATGGTCAGGGTAGATTAATATAGATTTTAAGCTTTAATTTTTTTTTCCCTAATACGGGTTTTTAATTTCTGAGCTCTGGAGGCAGATTTAGGTTTTCTGCATAAATCATAATCTTGTTAATACTTAATCATCTAGTATACTGACCGTTTAGAATCCCTGAGTTATGTAAGATGAAAAACTTTAATTTTTTAATATTTCCAAGCATAAAATGAATTATCCAATTGGAATGAAGTTTTACATTTCTGAATTTTTTAATCTTGGGGTAGTATTGGGTATATAATTAGGTTCACCATTCACCAGTAATTTCCAACTTATTTTCTGATTTTACTTTGCAAGATGTTAATTCTGTCACAAAAATATTTATTTCAAAATTTTTCTTCATTTAACTTTGCCTTGTTCAGGCTTAAATCTTCTGTCAGAGTCAAAATTTTGCATAATGTATAGAAATGAAATTTGAAGAGAATAAAATTTTGAAATATGTCTGACTTTACAGATTTGTGCGAAGTCATCCTGAAAATGAATATTTAAAAAATGTGGCCAAAAATGGGGCCAAGGTGAAAGCTGATCGGAAAGGTGGATACAGGAAAGGTGATGAAAGAATAAACCGGGTAAAATAGAGAGAAGATGAAACTTTTTAATGGATAATTTTGATAATCATTTTTAACACTATTATTTTGGTTTGCAGTAATATAAAGTTTTTAAATAGAAATTTTCTTCTTAGCGAGAAGGTCCAAGCCATTAAGGATGATAAAGGTTAGACACTTCAAGATACAGAGAATAGACAAGTCTAAAAATTTGATAACAAGTCCTGACAAAATAATAATTGTTTATTTAATTTTATGAAATGTAATTGTAGAAAATGTACTGTAGAAAATCCGGTAACCAATGTAATGTAGAAAATCCCGTAGCCTGTATTGTAGATAATCCGGTAACCAATGTATTGTAGAAAATCCGGTAGCCTGTATTGTAGATAATCCGGTAACCAATGTATTGTAGAAAATCCGGTAACCAATATAATCATAGCACCGTGCTATACTATACAGCTAATTTAACATTATAACACGATGATTACTGTATAACACTTCTACATTAAAAGTTCTGAAAATGTTGAAAATATTTAAGCAATGGACAAATATCTGGCAAAATATAACAAATATAAAAGATTCTTTTAATAATTCTGAAAATATATCATTAAAATTGTACTATTTATTTTATTATTTTAGGATCTCCTCTTGTTAATATCCGCAGTTCTAGAGAAGAGTCCGGAGAAAAGGTTTAACCTTACCCAGATATTAAGTTCTCCCTGGGTGAAATTGAACCTGATTAAATCTCCGGAGTTCCTGGTTTTTGACTAATCAAAGTATGGAGAAACCGCATATGCATTTTTGCTGTAATAAAGAATGTAAAAGGGATTGTTAGGTTATGATAAGCTGGTCTTTTAAGAGATTGCATGTAAAGCGGTGACGGATTGTGATATTTTCCAAGGGGAGGAAATAATTAAAAAATTGCCTAAATTTTAAATTCTAAATACTGCACTGGCAGGGTAGGGAGGGGGAAATTTTCTGTGAAGGAAAAAAAACATAAAAGAACCAAATTTTGATTTTTTTTTTGATCCATTGGTAAAAATTTAACTTCAGGGAGTAGAATGTGCCACCTTTCTCTAGCTGGCCTAAAATCTTCAAGGGAAAGGGGGACGAAGTCTCCCCAACTTCCAGGGAGGGGGAGGTAGACCCCCCTTATTCCACCACTGCTTCTGCGTTAACCTGTATGAAAATACACATAATACCTTTGCAGTAAAATCCGTGTCGTTTTCTTGAAAAATCACAGCTGCAGGAAAAAATGAATTGTCATGGATGGCTTTCAAATGAAGTTCTTTGTAATTTTATAATTATATGTTAAATATATTGAAAGATCCTTGTAATTTAATGCTTTCTTTATATAAATCTGAATCCTTTTATAGTGATTTAAATAATAAAGTTTTCTGTAAATCTCGCTTATCTGAATCCTTTTCTAGTGATTTAAATAATAAAGTTTTCTGTAAATCCCGCTTATCTGAATCCTTTTCTAGTGATTTAAATAATAAAGTTTTCATTGAATCCCGTGAGGTTTTCAATGGTTTTACAACTCTTCTTTCGATAAACATACAGTTAGAATTTTATCCCATTCCAGGTAATATTATTAATCTTGTTCGTCCCTGCTTTTCCTTTTATTTGTAAATATAATTTTCTATTTATTCCTATTTAAATCTTTCACTAAAATATGTCTTTTTGTGTAAATTGTATTTAAACAAAAGCTGTTGACAAACCATTAAAACCCAGAAGTTGCAAGATTGCAAATTTTATAGTTTTTTCTCACCTCGCGCGAAAATAACAATTTTCTAAGAAGGAAAAAGTATATTACGTTTTGCAGGTTGAAACTTCCAAACTAAAATCAATGTTTGAAATCTACTATTTGTAAGTTGCCATGGTAAAATTATCCCCAGCATGAACTGGCAGCTTAAACTGTCCAATAACTTCAAAACATCTTGAATCCCCCACCCCCTTCTCCTCCACTCCCCAATCCAAACAAGTGTCACAAAAGTCCAGGATTATCAGTTTAGATAAACGATAATCTGTCGAAAAAATTGGCTGTGTTCCGCAAATATTCGTTACTTCTCCGTGTTCCTGGAACACAGTGGGATATCTAGTCCGGTTCCTAGTTCCAACTATACGTAGAGTATACATAGGTTCAACTCATCCTAACTTTACCGAGCACCCTGAGTAACCTTGGGCTACCACTCCCATCCGTCCTTACATCTTCAGTTATTATTTAGAATGAGGCATTTAACCATCTCCACACTAGGGATTGATCTAAACACAGTGAACATTTGGAAACTATTCCTAATTGGTCGATTTAATATTGGTTGAATTATCACTAGCTAAAAGAACAAAGAATGCTGTGTACACTAGAACCAGACAAGTTTTGTCTGGGTGGGAACTTAGATAGATATATACGGAATACGGATACCTGCAGTTTGGTTTATTTTTAGGGCCAAACTCCGACAACTAAACATTTTATTGCTTGGAACTGAACTTTGTAATATTGATATTTTAACAATTTAAAACATTTTATTAGAATACAGAAGTCAAAACACAGTTCTGATCAAAGTAACTTAGGAGTTTTGTTAAGTAGTTTTCAAGTTTAAGTTACATCACTATCATGACTGTCATTAAAAACTTACAATTATATGTAGTAATTTACTCTTCATTGTTTGTAGTTTACTCATCACAGCTAGTAGTTTACTCATCCCAGCTAGTAGTTTACTCATTACAGCTAGTAGTTTACTTGTCACAGCTGTTAGTCTATTTATCACAGCTAGTATTTTACTCTTCAAAGCTAGTACTTTACTCATCACAGGTAGTAGTTTACTTACCACAGCAAGTAGTTTACTCATTACAGCAAGTAGTTCACTAATCACAGCTAGTAGTTTACTCATCACAGCTGGTAGTTTACTCATCACAGCAAGCAGTTTATTCATCACAGCTAGTAGTTTACTTACCACAGATAGTAGTTTACTTACAACATAGCAGTTTACTCATCACAGGTAGTAGTTTACTTACCACAGCAAGTAGTCTATTCATTACAGCAAGTAGTTTACTCATTACAGCAAGTAGTTCACTTATCACAGCTAGTAGTTTACTCATAACAGCTAGTAGTTTATTCATCACAGCTAGTAGTTTATTCATCACAGCTAGTAGTTTACTCCTGACAGCTAGCAGTTTACTTATCACAGCTGGTAGTTAACTATTTACAGCTAGTAGTTTTTTCATCACAGCTAGTAGTTTTACTCATCACAGCTAGTAGTTTACTCCTGACAGCCAGCAGTTTACTTATCACAGCTAGTAGTTAACTATTTACAGCTAGTAGTTTTTTCATCACAGCTAGTAGTTTACTCCTGACAGCTTGCAGTTTACTTATCACAGCTATTTGTTTACTATTTACAGCTAGTAGTTTACTCTTAACAGTAACCCAGAAGCATTGAGTTATTTATTCAATTTATCTTTTTGTCATTTTTAATTTTAATAATTCTGTTCGTAAGATGCCTACTTTGAGCCATGATCATTGATCAGGACGGAATATATTCATGAGGAGAGCAGAGCACACCTTTTTGTCCTTGGAATAGAAGATACACCACAGTGCAGTAGATGTTATATTTGTCGGGACCAGATACACCACAGTGCAGTAGATGTTATATTTGTCGGGACCAGGCATCATCGTTCAGTAAACCACAGTTCCCTGGGGAATTATCTTAAACCTTTAAAGTACAGTGGTCACCAGATAACAGTGGATTGATTGTGGTCCTCCGTCTTTATTCTGTAAAATATTGCATAGGGTTTGTGGTCCGTGACTGTTTTATTTTGTTTTAAATCCCAAGCGACATCAGACCACATTTTCTGGTAACGCCTTGAAGGGCATTAAAAATGTATGTCTTCCTTTAAGCACAGAAACTTCTTCATCTTATCAACCATGTAATTTCGTGAGACACTCTGTAGATTATCAGTCATCACTAGGGTTTCCAATCTATTCCGTAACAATTCCGCGACAGAAATGTATAACGGTACCTTGTTCCGTGTAGCTAATAGAGGGTGGATTTATTAGTATTTAGGTTAACAAAGGTTACGGCGTTAATTTCATAAAGGTTTTAACAATTAATATTTTAGGAAAGGTTTCGTAAGACATACATGAAACCAATTTGACCCGGAAACAAATGAAACCAATCATCATTTTAAATATTTACAAGAGTGTAATTTTAGTCTTTTGGTTGTAACCCTGGACTAACCATTTATGCGTTTAAGACGCATTTATTAAGGAAAAAATATTTAAAAGAGAAAAATTTAAGTTTAACTGTTCAAATTGTGATCCAAAGTGACATTTTGCTGGGACAAGGTCCGAACTATTAAATCTGCGTGCTAAGTACTTTAATATTACCATGTTATACGTTCTAAGAATAATTATAAATAAATTAATCAACTTTACCAATTACTCCATCATAATGAGACAGTATAAACTGAAAGTAGAAATGCAGATTTTTCTGAACTATAACGACAACAACACTTTAAATAAAAATCTAAACGTTTGCGATCAAAAAAATTTTTGAATCAGTTCACAAACTAAAAAAGTTTAAAATGACTTTACAGAATGCGATTATTTGCAGAAGATGTGTCAGGATATAACCCTGTTCTAAAATGATGTCTAACATAATTTAATTTTGACCCTTCCATAAATATACCTGATGAACCACGTAAACCTTTTCTCTTTCTCAGAATTTGAAAATATTCAGCCATTTTCTAGCCCGGCATCCTTTTTATTACATTAGTAACTTTTAGAAGAACCACGGTCCGAAACTAGTAAGGTTCTGACAGAAAAACTAAGAAAAAACTAAGTTTACGGTCCCTTTAGAGTTCAAGTTTATTGACAATTCATCTATTGTCATCTTTTCTTTCTTCACAATCAAAACGCATTTCATCAAAAAATATAAAAAAGTTTTATTATACTTTTAATAATATCGTTCTTGCTCCCCTACTCTTTAAAAGATTAAGCGGCCTCCCCCTCCCCTTTTCATGGCTTTGTATGCAGTTAGACGGTTTGGCCTGCATCGATAATAATCTGACGGTTTTTTTATCGACTTTGATCCACGCAGAATCCGCGGAACCGATTCATTTTGGGTCTGTTCAGAAGAGGAAGGGGGGGGATTACTTGTTGATGATATTTTTTTTATTTATATTAAATATTAATAATCCATTAATCCATCCAATATTTTGCTTCTTTTCTGATGTAAAAGTTTTAAAATCCAGGTAATGAGCGGAACGAATAATGTTGGCTGTGTTAAGGTCATATCCCGTAATATTAGCGTTCTCTGTAGTGCTGGTCAATGGTACTGGACAGTATAAGTGTGGAGAGAAGGAGTTTACTGAAACTAGAAACAGTTACGAGAAGTGTGCTAGTCTCAAGATACGTGAGATAACTGTATGGTTAGAACAAAACCCGGAGAACCTACTACTCAGCAGTGTATGCGGAGCAGTACAGGATCTACTTCATACTTGTGGAGATGAGCTGGGCTGGTGCTTCACAGAGATTCAGGTTCATAATTCACATTCTATACAACAAATCTTTCATGATCAAAACAAAGCATCTTTTTTCCTGATCAGTACAATGGCACTTCCTTGATCAGTACAAAGCATCTTCTTTCTTGATCAGTACAAACCATCTTCTTCCTGTTTAGTACAAAGCATTTTTTTTCCTGATCAGTACAAAACATCTTCTTCGCTGATCAGTACAAAGCATCATCTTTCCTGGTCAGTACAAAGGCACTTTCTTGATCAGTACAAACCATCTTCTTTCTGATCAGTACAAAGCATCTTCTTTCTTGATCAGTACAAAGCATCATCTTTTCATGATCAATACAAAGCCTCTCCTTTCCTGATCAGGACAAAGACTCTTTCCTGATCAGTACAAAGCATCATATTTTCATGATCAGTACAAAGCATCTCCTTTCCTGATCAGGACAAAGACTCTTTCCTGATCAGTACAAAGCATCATATTTTCATGATCAGTACAAAGTCTCTCCTTTCCTGATCAGAACAAAGACTATTTCTTGATCAAGTACAAAGCATCTTTTTTATGACCAGTACAAAGAATCTTCTTTCCTGATCAGTGCAAAGCATCATCTTTCCTGATCAGTACATAGTATCTCCTTTCCTGATCAAGACAAAAACTCTTTCCTGATCAGTACAAAGCATCATCTTTTCTGATCAAGTAAAAGCATCTTTTTTTCTGATCAGTACAAAAAAAATCTTCATTCCTGATCAGTACAAAGCATCATCTTTCATGCTCAGTACAAAGCATCTTCTTTCCTGATCATAACACAGACTCTTTCCTGATTAGTACAAAGCATCTTCTTTTTTGATCAGTACAATCGATATTTTTTCATAATTAGTTTTTTATTTTATTTAATATTTTTAGTTTGGAAAAAATTCTTAACCTCTCCGTCAGTTGCACAAAATGTTTGTCCTTGAACAAAAAAACAAAATAATTTTTTTATCTAAAATGCATTGAGTTTATTCTTTATCCTTTCTTTAATTACAATCTGTTCTTTCAAGAATTAAAAAGATTTTCATCAATCAACTATTTGATAGAATAAATCAATCATTAAATATTTCTCCTGTAGGTTGAAGAAACTAAATCTTTCCAAAGAGCAGGACTTGAAGATATACTTCGTCAACATTTACCTTCACATTCAGTAGAGTCCTGTATACACCAGAATATATCATACCATTCAACAAACCAAACAGGTTAGCTTCCATTCATTAAACCAGGTAGGTTAGCTTCCATTCATTAATCCAAACAGGTTAGCTTCCATTCATTAAACCAAACAGGTTAGCTTCCATTCATTAAACCAGTTAGGTTAGTTTCCATTCACTAATCCAAACAGGTTAGCTTCCATTCATTAAACCAAAAAGGTTAGCTTCCATTCATTAATTCCATTCATTAAATTAGGTACGTTAGCTTCTATTTATCAAAGTTCATACATTCATTTAACAAGATATGGATTAGCTTTTTAATTGTAAGACAAGTTAGTTCTTCTAATTATTGGAAACAGCTAGGTTGGGAAAAAAATGTTAAGAGACAAAGACAAATGATAATATTAAAAGATTATATGAAATGCAAAATTTTACTTTAGTTCACAGTTTATTTCTTGTCTACTTCTAATTTATTATTTTTAGTTGATACACGGAGTAAGACCCCAAGGTTTACTACAATTAGGACGGATAACTTTGGAGCTGTAGAAACGGAACCCAACCCAGGAGAGGATTCTGATGGATCTGCGAACCTAGAGTTGAACCCTGTAGATATTACTGACAGGGCGGAGTTTAGTAGAACATTTATTAAAGATTTTCCAGTGAATCACGAGTTTCATCTTGATCAGGACGAAACCACCAGATTCTCCGGGTCCTGCCAAACTAGTTCTAGTCTGATTGCGTTGCTGTCATTAAATATGATCTTTATAGTTCTAGAATAATTTGAAATAAAATAAAATAACTAGTTTTCTTCTTTAATCTTCGAAATTAGAAACAATTTGGTTGAAAATACGAGGATGCATTTAAAACTTTTAAAAAAATTGTATCGTACGTTTATTCGGACTTTAGTGTTGATTAGATTGAACCTAACAGTGAAAATTTGTCAGTTCTGGCTAGTTTTTCCTCTAAATACCATTTTCTGAAATGTGAAAAAATACAAAATGTTGTCTTAAAGAATAAAAGTAAAAACTTTTTTGTTTATTTAGCTTTTACCAATTATGGGATTTTTTAGTCTTGGCCAGGGAATTTATAATAAAAACTGTAATACAAAAACTTAAGCCCAGTTCTTTTGAGGCGAAAAGACTCAAAGGAACGGATTTTTTGCCATCAAAATTATATTTGAAGAATTATTTAAAAAGACGATATCGAATTCGTCACTGAATTCCCATGTTTTTTGGGACACCCTGTATTTCAAACTAATGGAAAATTGTGTTTACGGTAAAACGAATCAAGATAGAGATCAATAAAATCCAAATAATAATTTATGACAAGTTATGCAAATAACAGTCCACAGACTTTTTCTACCAACTCCACAGCTAGGACGGAGACGACGGAAATTTAGTCAGAGTTTGTTTGGAATATTTCTGATATAATATATTTGGTTCCTTCTAATAGGGACTAGGTTAGTGTCCCCTTTTAATTTATTTATCTCACAATTGTACATGATTATCATCAGTTTTCAAACCAACATGGATATCAACGGACATGCCACCATAGTTACTCATCAATGCAGGCCAGGGCCACTCAAAATTTCGTTTACTGATCCTTCAAGACTCGAAGACCAGATTCAACCTCGCGGATTTCCACAGATCAGGTAGTCATAGATGGATCATTAACGCGGACCGCCCTGCCTTTCTAACTGTATATTTTGAGTTAATCAATCAATCGAGCTGTACAATTTGGCTAGTTGTATATTCCCAGTGTGTCCAGCGAGCCCAGCATGGTTCCGGGGATGGAACATGGCAGAACTTATTAACAGTATAATTATGGAAATGCAAAAATATGTTCGTTCTTTAGGCTCATTGTGCTATTTTTCGTGAACAAATTGGCACGTATAAACTTGTCAGGCGCCCGGACGCGTCAACCCTGCATCTATATCTACCTGATCTATGCGAATATTATATTTCAAGAATTTTAGGTCTCATTCTTTGTTAGTAACCCTGTATAAAATATAATCCGAGCCCGAATCGTGTCATCCGTACTTTTTGAAAACCTATGACGTCTTCACTTACATGGTTCCCAAGATATTTAATTTCTAACAGTTTCTAAAACAAATTCAAAATATGTTCTTTATTTCTAGACGTTCTTCGCTTCATACTAATCTTTTCACTCTCTATCAGGATAAAGGCCACATTGCAGTTTATATTTATTTTTATTTTAAAAATTTGTTGGTGCCAAATTCTTATTTTTGGATTTCATATAAAACCTGTTGTTAAGTTTAATAATTACATGTTATGCAGGCCATAAGAGAATCGTCTCATGGAACACAGAGACCAATCCATCCTGAGCACTGAGCAGGGAGACATGTCTTTGATGTTAGTTCCATGAAAACTTTAACTCCTAGTACCCACATTTATCCCATGGGTAGGACAACAGTGGCTTTTGTGTCGTCTAGAAAAATTTTGGTGCAATTATTGTTGTTCATCCATAGCGTGGAATGAAACTAGTTATAAAATGTTGTTTACAGTCCACAAAAGTCAAGTCGTCCAAATACTGGTTTTAGATCAGATGGAATAGCATACTTCACAAACTTATTCTAATACATGTTTTAAAGATTTACAATGATTACAGCAGATTCTGTGATTTTTAAACTGACCCGGAGAATGCTGCATAAACGAATACATGCTTTACATAGATGATTTCAATCTATTAACGATGGAACAAATGAAGAACGGAGCTAAACAGATTTTGTGTCAGCTCCGTCCTACAAGAAATACCCATGGGATCTTAGGGACAGTTTCAAGGTTGGTTTTAAGACCAGGAAAGCTTGGAACCGAGGTGAGGCAAGCTTAAGATGGATTAACGTGGGATTAATTAAAGTTTGTTTTTAACCTGAGTCTAAAGTGAATCTACTTGAGATTGTAAAGTAAAGTCTGGGCTGGTGAAAAACCTTGAAACTATCCCAGACAGATTTTGAACGATGTAACACACTAGATCTCATTTTCAATGACACGATCATCCGAGAAGGGCAGGGATCGTGGAACCTGATCTACCTACGGCGCAGGGTTTAGGCACTGCTCTCACCGCCTTCGTTTCCACCAACCCCGGCACCACGTCCACGACCACGACCGCGGAATCCACCGCGTCCACCACGGAATCCGGTTCCACGGGAAGATCCGCGGAACCCGCCGGGACCTCCTCGATATCCGCCGCGGAATCCTCCGCGGAATCCTCCACGTCCGCGAGATCTTCCCCTGTATCCGCCACGACCACGGCCCCGTCCTCTTCCTCCCTCCTGATCCGCTTCATCTCCGCCATCTTCACCAGACTCCGCCTGTCCTCCCTCCTCTTCATCACTACGACGAGCTCCGCCACGACGAACATACCTGGGACGGTATCTTCTGTATCCTCCACGACTTCTACCACGTCCACGTCCTCGACCACCTTCATCTCCTTCTCCTCCTTCTCCTTCCTCCTCTACCCCATTCTCCTCTCCTTCTCCTCCGGAACCTCCCTCGGATTTTCCTCCACGTCCTCTGCCGCGACTAAACATTTAAAAATTCACTCTTTAATTTAATAAATATTGAAGGGGTTTGAAAATTTACTTTAAAGAACTTTATTGATTTTAGATGATCTAGGGAAAATAAAAATAGGACATCAATAGCCAAGTATATTTATTTGCTCCTTATTGATTCTTCTATTACCCTAAACCCATTTATTTCCCCAATTCAGCGCATAAATCCTTAAANGGTCGCGTCGCCACCACTCAATAGAAACGTGGAAACAAATTCAAGAATTAAAAAAGAATTAAATACAAAAATATATAGTTCGAATTGTCCTTAATATCCAATTCGAAGTCCCTAATTATTCGGAATAAGAACATTTTCGCGGGAGAAATTTGAAGCTTAGAGGACACGATGAAAATAAGGTAAGAGCAGCCAACCTTTCTGGAAATTTTAGCATCAATAAGTGAAGGGGTGCTGATTAATATTGAAGAAAGTTTGTGTGCCGGGGGGGAGGGGGTCGTCTATCCATATGTATCGACGAGCTAAATCCGAATACAAACCTGCGGAATCCACCTCTACGACGATCAGCGGCATAGGGAGATCCTTTCACGGGTACACCCTCAGGACCAGATACGTTAGACGCTTCGTTTCCTTTTTCTCCGATAACAACATCGAACTCAACTACCTAAGCAAGAGCGGTTGAAATAAAGATCTATCAAGAAACTTTATTAGATATCAATTATTTTCAATCCAATCCAATATTACTCTACACAAATTCACACCATCATTATTCCTATATTTGTTTTCATCTAAATCAACATTTATGTATGCATTATCTTCAACAATAACGTATTCAATATCTGTTATACTTCATACACTTAACAAAACCATTTTTTTGCAATTGAGGTTTCGTAAATATATTGACAAAGGCAAAGCTTTTAAGGGTCACTTGAAATTATTTAATAGGATTAAAATATTGCCAAGTTTCACACTCTCTAATTTAAACTTTTTGTAACTGGAAGCAACCAATTGAGTGTAGTATAATTGTTCTCATACTTACCAAAAACCTAAAAAGTAAAAACTAAGGCAAAAATATACGCAATTATTCGTAAAAATACGTTTCTGGAAAATTTAAGCCCTTATATGCAGGTTTTTATAAAGATCTATTTAAATTTATTTTCCCTGTTTGTCCGTTTGTTTGTCCTTATATTCCTTATCTTGAAATATACTGGGTTTAATTTCAAGTTACAGTTCAAGTCCAGTTTCGGTTACATTTAATGACAAACCACCACTATGCATCAGTGCATAAGTACAGCCACCGAACCTGAGCTTACTGTTATAAGAATTTGGTGTATGCTAATTACAAAATTTACTTATGGCCTTATATAGTTGAAATAAATGGTTTACAGGCTTTATTTTTGGCCNCTGCAGATATAAAGGGATTGTCTGCCGCCACATACTCACTGTACAGGAAATACAGTTACAATCTATACCTACACCAAGAGAGGGAGTAGGGATCAGAGGGGGGTCGAATAACGTCATTGTTTGAAAGAAATGCATGGTACGTCCTAGAATACGATTTTAGCCCCCCCGCCTCCTGTAAATTTTGTACCTAAATTTTAGCTTTATCATTTATTACTTAAAAATATTTATGTATTATTTTAGGGGTAAGTTTGGATCTGGGCCAAGTGCTGCGACTTAGGGCCGAGCGTCGTGCCCGGACTTACTTTTAAATTCAACAAAAATCAACAAAACTAGTATATATATTTAGGGTTAGGTTAGGTTAAGATACGTTCTGGGTCAAGCGCTGCGGCTAGGACAGGCTAGGGGGCCGAGCGCTGCGGCCACAAAACAAACTTTACCCATGAGAATCTTCTTAAAAACTACCTAAAAAGTAAAAACCAATTAAAATATTATGTTCATAATTTTTAGGAGGGGGGGGGCCAAAAATCGTACACTAGGAAATAACCGAAATGCATATGACTAGCTATGACCTCTACAATCAAAATTCCCTTTCAGAAACCCATCTTTAATTAAATGTTTAAAGTGAGAAGACGTACCTCTCCGTCCCCCACGGACCTGACCGCCTTCTTGGGGTTGTTCTTCACGATGGCAGTCTGGTGAACGAACACATCCTCCTTAGTGTCGTTCCTGTTGATGAAACCGTATCCTGACTTTACGTTGAACCACTTCACGGTTCCGGTCACCTTAGTGGCAATGACCTCCTTGGCGGCTTCTTCTTTATCCCCAGCCTGCTGTTGTTCGGGCTGGGTCTCCGGGTCAGTCATGATGTTAATGTGGTCTGGATGTTGACCTGAAATATTTGTTTAAGTGTATAAATTCGTCCGAGTTTGAAATCGATAATTACTCGAAGATCGAATCATTGAAATAATAAACGAATCAATTTATAGTAAAATAAGGGAATAGATTTATAGAAAATGGTTGATTTATTAATATATCTTGACGAATTTATCGCGTAAAAAAGGAATTTCTCTTACCAACTTTTTCCCACGTCTGTTGTTAAGATGGCGTTAAACCTCGTGAAGTACCGATGGAAATCCAATAAGTATTCATTTGCTATTTGAACGGGCCCTGGACCAGCATCGGTGTTATCTTAGGCGAAATACGGTCAAATTTCAGGGGGATGGGGAGGGGAGAGGGAGGGGAGAGGAGAGAGGCAGCGGCGTAAATCCTGGGGGTAATTACCCCCCCTGGAATCCTGCACTCCCAGTAGAGTGAAAATAATAAAACTTGAAGAAATTCTTTAAAAGTTTTTTTTTGGAGGAAGAGTTGTTATACTTTGTTTTTGTTTTTAAAGAAGGTTGATTTTAAAATGGAATATCTTTAAAATACTTCAGATATTTCAGATTTTAAGTCAACATATATTCTAAATGATTCTAAATTCTAAAGTAGTTAGTAATGTCATTACAATTAGATATTTTTTTAATAGAAAAAAGAGATGGGCAATGAAGAATACAAATTTACTTTTCAATAATGTCATTTCAATATTAGATTTATTTAAGATCTTAACATACCACATTGACGACAAGAAAATTTTAGAAATGAGAAATTAGAATTATATAAACATAAGACAATATTTTTTCAAAGTTTTGCAGAGTATACCTTTTCTAAATATTTAAAAAAGTAATCTTTTTCCTCTTAGAGTAAAGTATTTTTTAAGTTGCTTAAAATAAATTCAGTTATTTACAGATCTTCATTTGATGGAGTTTGCAAATGCCAGAAATGAGTGGAAAATGCAAATCAAAACCAAAAACATTAAATTGATATACATCATGATATTTTGCTAGGGAGGGGATTCAAAAAAATTCTAGGGGGGTAAAAAATAGCCTAAAATAATGGCTGATGATTGATGAAAACAAAAAATTTTCCAATCGCTTTATATTTGCAACCTGACAGTGTACACCTCTGATTTGTCAAACTAAAATTATTTGAACTATCCTTTCAGAAATAAAAGTTTGAGATATCTTTAATGTGTGTATACAACTATGGTCTGCATGAGCGAGGGAAGGCAACCTCCCCCGCACAGCTTCCGAACCTCATTTTACCTATTTACGGCAGTGCGAGTCCCCAGAGTACTTCCATTTATAATCGAAAATTTCTACTTTAAACGGGACTAATTTTATTATTTAAGCACAGTAGTCGATCTATAGCACTATCCTTAACATTTGCAAATAATATTTTTTTTTCACAATCAAAATTCGGAGAGAAACGCAAAATCTTTGCGCATCAGTTTGGCGCGAAAAAACAACAATTTGCGCAATCATTCATAAAAGTCATTTCGCGCAAAATTGTCCTTTTCCGTTTTTGCGAAACTCAAGTTTTGCGCAATTCTGCAACTAGAGTTTTGCGCAATTCCGCATTTTTGTAAAAATCAAACGCCATGGTGACGGTGTGTGTTTCCTAGAATTCAATTCTTCCAGTGCTGAAAGGTTTTGTAACAAAATCCGAAACATATTGTCCAGTAAAAGCCTCGACAATTTTAGTTTTGGACATGCATATTTCCTAAAAGTGGATTCTTCAGGCATTGGTTACTTTCTTGCATTATTTTATATGAGATTAAAAAGATTTCAGTAATTTGATTCAAAAAATTTAAGAATATAATTCATACTTGATTAGGCAAAGCTTTTAAATCCTTTAACCCATTAAAAGTGGACTTAATACTTCATTTTTACTAGTGGACAGGATGAGACTGATATTTTTTGTTCTTTCAATGCTTGTAATTATTTTCGTTGTAGATGTAGAATGCGAGTACGCTAACACAAAAATCAAAACACTGTAAAGGTTTATTGAAAATATCTTTTAATGGAGATAGATATTACTTTGCTCAGTGTGAGATAATTTTTAGTTAACAGGCAGCCCAACCTTTTAGTATTTTAACTCATCATGAAATGCAGTCAGTAAATCAGCGAATTGAATCTAAGATTCATCTAAAGTAAACTATGCCTTATTTCTCAGTTTTTGTTGACCAAACCAATCTGAAAACAAATTGAAAATTTAGTTTAAGTCAATACAGATGCTATGAAACTCTTTAGATGTAAAAAATTGTGTTAAAAATGCATTAAATTAAAATTTCAGAAAACAAGATTTTACAGTGATAACCAGTTGAGGTGGTGGAGATTAGAGCTGGGCAAAGTTCCATTAATGAAATGGAAATTTTCAAAAATTAACAGAACAAATGGCAAAAACTGTAAATCTTTAAATCATTAATAAAATGGATTAGCCGTTTTTGAAGAACTAAAAAGCGAAAAATGGTAAATTTTGTTATTTTATAATTAAAATTGCATGAAATTTTTATAAAAAATTTTAATTTTTACTCATTTTGATATTTTCAAATGTTGTCTTCTGTGTTTATAAACTGTTAACAAAATTTTTTGCACTATTCGCGCCAATAAAACTGTAATATACCATTAACAGCTGTGCCGTTAATGATTTTTTTTATCATTAACACCATTGATTTTGTAATAACGGTACCATTAATGGCTAGAGCCGTTAACAGTTGTTGAAAAATTTTCAGTTAACTCTGTTAATAAAATTGAGATTGTTAACCAACGGTAATTATTAAAAAACACAGAAAATGCCCTTATCGGAAGAATATTCTGTTCTTACCTTTAAAATTAACGGCTAACTGAAATTTTTATTTTTTAATGGTTGGAACTAACCATTGACGAAACGGCTAGAAAAAGTTGGAACATACCCAGCCATAGTGGAGATTACCAATTGAGGTGGTGGAGATTACCAATTGAGGAGTGCGCATGCCGCAAAACACGTTTGGGTTGTGGTGATTACTAAGTGAGGACTTCTGCACTCTCCCCCTGCCAAAGGAGGCAGATAACCCATCCCTGTATAAACACAAACCATACAAATGGTAATAACGGAATCTCAGGAAATAAGGATATTTGAAAAAAAGGATAGATTTTTAATTATTTACAACTACTTTACAAGGAAAAAAAGGGAAATTACTTGACCAAGGGTTCCCAAGACCAATGTTGTCTACAAAACATTTAGAACGCAGCAAGGGGTGTTTTGAAGACAAAATTGGTTGAGAGAACCCGTGGTTAAAATTAAGTAAAACTTTTAATTTCCCGAAAAAGTAGTTGCACATAATTTTAACGTCTGTTAGATGAAAATGCGCGAATGTTTTCCCGAAAACTGCGCATGAACAGGTGTTTAACTTACATAATTTTGTCCCAAGAGACGTTAAGTAACAGCTAACCTCCCTCTGTTGGGGGAATCATAGGTCGGTAATGTTGGTGAAAAGGAAGTAAAATATTAAATTATTCAAATTTTATAACATTTATTATAGGGTTTTCATCGAACTTTTGGTTGAACGAAATTCTCGAAAATTTGTTCATTTTTGTTAATGATATTCGCGAATTTCGATGTACTTTCAAAGAAATTTTTGACCTAATCTTCATGAAAATTTTGGCCATTTTCGTGAAATTTTTGTTAAATTTTCGTTCAATAAAAATAGATTTTTGATTTTCATGATATTTAATGAAACCAGCAAATAATCACAGGAAAACAATAATATACCATTATACCATAAAATAAATTGTTTATGAGTGATTTTCTGCATTTCTATTTTCACGTCTGTTTGTTAGTGTTAAGTGTTGAATCTTGAATATACATATGGTTACGCTTGAAAGATGAGACTTAAATGACAACCTGAAAATCCCTATCATTCGCCCCCCTCCCTCTGTGTTTTTTTTCTAAATAACTTAAAAACGTTTTGCATTAGAATGCTGAAATTTCTTCACTTTTTCAATATCATGGTTGTAAACAAATTTTGGCAAATTTTGTTTGAAACAGAAATGCTTAATAACCTTTTTATTAATTTTTACTTTTTACTAATGTAAAAATCTTATTTTTCAATGAATGTATGTCAATTATGAAAAAAATTATGTTTCTAATTGTCCCTTGAATATATTTCTTTACAAAACCTGCTAACTATAAGAACAGGAATGTAATTACAGAATACCAATGTCCGGAGAAGCAGCATGCAAACCTTTTTAAGTCAGGGTTGAGACTTTTGTGTGGAGATTTTTGATCTTGATATCCAATGTGTGCACTTCTGATTTAGAGGATAAATTAAAGTTAACCCCTAAATTAAAGTTAACCCTGCAGAGTATGATCATATACCAATGGATATCCAATTTAGCAAAATCCGCAGGTCTGCATAAATTGGATTAGAGATGAATATTTGAAGATTCACAGCAAAAAAAGTTCTGATTTCTGGTATTATTAATTATTAATACAAAACATATATTTGTTCTTTCCTCAAAGCTTTACAATAAAAGGATTTATGCAATTAACAAAAAAACATATTAGATTTCAGGTGAAATTTTCTTTAGTTTGACATGGTTGACTTGGTGGCGGTGATTACTTTTTGAGAAACTCTGGACTCCCTCCCTCTACCCACAAAGAATGAGACTGTAAAGACGACTCAAAACTCAAAAAATATGAGAATGTAAAGCTTTATTTTTAGTTTCTGCATTCAATTGAGTATTTTAATGGTTTAATAACTAATTAAGCACAGAAATAAAGCCGTTTTTGCCTACAAGGAACCCATAAATGCAAGAAAACGGAATAAACAAATTCCGTAAAAAAGTCTCTGGAGTCTCATCCTTCGTGCAGGTAACCCGTATATATGCCTTCAGAATTAATTTTATGTTTAAGCAAAAGGCACTGATTACTCAAACTTTCTTGTCCCTATATCTTTGCAACCTGTTGGTGCATAAGCCTTGATATTTTAAACATATATGTTAAGTCAACTAAGAATAAAAATTTAAAATTTTTCTGGAGGATTACACCCATGCACATATACAGGGGGGATCAGTATTCCTCTTGCCACCCCCCTTGGATTTATGGGCAAAGGCCTTAGAAACCAGAACTCATCCTTAGGACGTCAATAATTACCAATGGGACGTCCAGCGACGTCGTATTTTAGGTGTTGAGGACGTGTTGAGGACGTTTAATGCAAGGATTCTTACGTCCTCACAACCTAATTTTCAAAGTCGAAATGACGTCACTTTGGACGTTAATGACCAAACTTTTGACGTCCAAATGACCAAACTTTTGATGTCCAAATGACCAAACTAGATATTTATTTATCCTATTTATTAACCACTGAGCAGAGCCTAATTTATTCTATTAGTACTGCTACACTCCTCCCCCCCC